TGATGCTTTCGTCTTTGATTAAACACTTTTTTTTTGAAATTTCAAAAATATACCTTATACGTAGAAGGAAATCTTTATGTACGTGTAAAGTTAATGAAGCCGTTCAGATCTATTCTCTCTTTGCTTACAGAGAAGAAAACAAGCGTTGTGGTTCAGCTTTCTCTATATTTACAATTAAACTCTTGGCATTTAGCTGAGGCATCAAGGAAGGTCTGATTCTTGGATGGACCTCCGTTATGCTTTGGCAGAAGGACCTTACACGGTGGTCTTTCCCCACTGTGCCTTAGCTGCCCTAAGCTTTAGTGTGTCCCTCAGCGCATAGTCCTGGACCTTGGAATATGCCAGTCTGCAACACACGGTCAGGGTCAACTCTTTCAACTGGAAGACCAGCAAGTTTCAAGCAGACCAAAGAGCATCTTTCAGTGAGTTGATGGTCCTTCAGGTGCAGGTGATGTTTGTCTCAGTTTACGTCCCAGAGAGCAGACTGTACAGCTCAGAGTCCTGTGTCACAGAGCTGCTCAGGACAAACCTTGACAAAAAACACTGCATTCGTCTCCAGATTTCCTTTGCATAGGCACATCCCAGAAGGACATGTGTGACATTCTCATCCCCTCCACAGCCACTTCGAGGGCAGCACTGCTGAGAGGGTTGCCCGTTACAACCCTTTTCAGGTCTCCTGAGAAGGATAATCCCCTGGCTATCACTTAAAAGAGCACTGTTTCCATGATATATATCCCAAAAAAACTGGAGATCTATAGTTCTGAAGAAGAGTCATACTAGACTCAAAACATTAACTGTTTTGCTCTCCACAGATGCTGTCAGATCTGCTGAGTTTCTCCAGTGTTTGTACCCGTGGAGGTAATTTAGAGTGACATTTAAATGCAAACATAGTAACAACATCTGTGACCTTGGGTCAACTCAAAGTGTTTTACAACCTGGGAAGTAATGTAGAAATGTTATTGAGACAAGGGGAACAAAGCAGTCAGTTTGTAAACAAGATTTTGCAAACAGGAACAAGATAATCTCTTTAGTGATGCTTGTTGAAGGATAAATCTTGGCCAGGAGAAGGCTGAGAACTCTCCAACGCTGCTCCAAAAGACTGCGTGGGATCACTGGGACAGCAGGCTGTGTCTCGGTTTCATGTCTCATCTAAAAGACTGCACCTCCCACCATGATCCATACCCTGGAATGCCACCCAGATTTTGTGCTTTTGGAGTGGGACTTGAGGCCAGGCCCTCTGTTCAAGCAAGACCTAGGCACACGGTTCACATGGCTTCCAAAGGAGACAGTGTCCAAGTAAGGTGGGATCTTGAGGTAGCCCTCAAGACAGCTAGCATTCAGTAGATCCCAAAGAGTGGTAATTAATTTCCATAAGAAAATGAAACGCTTCTGGGAGGAATAAAACACATGGCTTCATTGTGTATTATTGTCCATCCCCATAAGCTTGCTTACTATCTGGATGCAATACTGAGCTATCCCATGATATTATCATTGTGAAACATACCAGCTTTCCCCCTTCTCCCTTTGAGGTAACATGTATGCCCTTGAGTTCTGTGATCAAAGGCAGGTCCAACTCACTGTGGGTGGGGCAAGGAAGCTGGTCTCAAATCCATCCCAGCTAGAATGGGGATTGAGCTCCACATTTTTGGCACTAATCTAATCCTTGCCAGTCACTCAGCCAAATAAGTCAACCAGTCCCATCAAGGAGTCTAAGTTGCTGTGGCAGCATATACTTTTACATGCATATTGCTATGGATAGAGATGGTAGCAGCACCAATTTGCTTCTGTCACATGGCAGACCAGGAATCTCCTTCTGTCTTACTGCCTGCCATTGGTATGTGTTGGAAGGATTTATAAGTTGATATTCAGTGTGCTTGTTTGCATAATGAATTCACCTTTCTTGTGCATCAAATGCCGGACAGGGACTTAAACCAAGAGCTTCTGGGATCGTGACATCCGGGGCCACAACAACTTGTATATTATCAGATCAACATGTACTGCCCTTCATCCTGAAGGACAACTTATATAGGGTATCCATTCAAAATGAAATAGCAATGTCATCAAGAACTATGAGCCTTATTTTTGATTCTAATCAGGTTTTGAACAAGTTAACATAAGGCCCTGTACATCCTAAAAATAATCTTTTGAACTCCACCAGCTACTTGCATCTTGACTGTGTGTTTGCATTATAATATGCCACAAGGTATTTTCTCTGTTTGCTGTTAGACAGGGCCAGTGATCGATATGCCTGTTCCATCAAGTTACAATGACATCACACAGGACCACAAGCTGAGAGATTTCATTGGCTGGGTGTGGTATGAAAAGGAGGTTTTGATGCCCAAGCACTGGACGTTGCCTAATGCAGGAATGAGAGTTGTGCTCCACATTGGTAGTGCCAATTACTACACTTTTGTTGTAAGTGTTTTGAATCATATTAAATTGCATAATGTTCACATGTGGAAAAAGAAAACTTCACTGGCAATTGTTGTACTTTGTGCAAAATATTTGATTATGTAAAGTTCTTTAGAATGTGCATGTAAGAATGGGATTGCAATTTGATCAAATGCCAGTGAGCAATGCAATAAAATTATGGGCTTTTTATTTCACGATTTGCCTAAACTTAATCATTTAGTTACAGATGCTTAGAAATATAACTGTAACTTGCAAAATGTAAGCATATGTACATAACACAACTAGACAGGGTAGATGCAGCAAAGACATTCCCATTGACTGGGGAGTCCAGAACCTGGGGTCACAGTCTAAGGATACGGGATAGGTAGGACTGAGGTGAGGATAAACTTTTTCACCCAGAGAGTGGTGATCCTGCAAAATTTTCTGCCCAGAAAGCAGTTGAGGCTGAAACATTTAAGGACATGTTGGATAAAGGACATGGGGCTAAAGAGATCAAAGGATATGGGGGAGAAGTAGGAACAGGCTTTTGAGTTGGATATTCAGCCATTATTGTAATGAATGGTGGAGGAGACTCAAAGGCCTACTCCTCCTATTTTCAATATTTCCGTATGGTCTCTGGGACTATAAGAAGTAATGATTGAACCGTTTTGCTCAGGGTGTTCCTGTTCTACTTTTTTTTTTAAAGCTTGCGGGCTAAATTTCTGTTGAAAATTAAATTACATCTTCTAGTTCAGTGCCTTGGATTTGGAGGTACTGTGTGGTTTTATCCATTCGTGATGGAGATGATTTATAGCCTGTCTCCAAATTCCAAGAAGATAGTTCAGAGTCAACACCTTGCTGTGAATCTGATGATACGTGTAGGCCAAATCAGGTAAGGATGGCACATTTCCGTCCGTTAATTTATGTCCATCTGTTAAATCCAGGTGGATATTTCATGAAAATTAGTTACCATTGGGCCAGCTAGTTTTGTTCATGATTTCCATTGAATTCAAATTTCACCATCTGCCACGTGAGATTTAGATCCATGTGCCAAGAACATTTGCTTATAATTCTGGATTACTCGACCAGCGACATTACCACTACATCACCATTACCCCAGGAAAATGGATTTTAGTTGTCAGTTCTTGAAAGCGATTACTTTTTAAGAGGTCGAACGTCATTTTTGAACAGCGAGTTCAAGCATAATTTTTTAGCAAAGCATGTAATTTAAGTGGCTGGATCAGGTACTTGGGATGTAAGTTGCTGAATGGTTACAAAGTGAAACATTAGTCATCTGCAATTGTTAAAGTTCAGGTTTCAGTTCAGAAGAACAGTTTCCTATTAGCAGAAAGGCAGTTAATTTGTGAAGTCTTCAAGCTGGAAAAAAGTTTTGGGATTTTTTAGCGTTCCAAGGAAAAAGACTGGAATGAGACCCTATGTTTCTCCAAAGATTCAGTATGTAGACTCAGTGAGTTCATCTGTATTATTATGTCTCTGGGAGAGGCAGTAATGGAGAGAATCACATTTGGTGAATGTGCAGAAAGTTACAGAAGGGAACTCATCAATTAAAAAAATTAGAATTAAGTTAGGAGTGATGTTTAACTGAGATTGATTAATGGTAAAGGATAAAGCTAGAAAAATAGGCTCATCAAGATCTAAATTGCCTGATGTATACATACAGAATATTTTTCTTTTATGTTATAAACTTCTGTCCTTTTGTGAAAAGAACATTAGCAGCCTCTGGTGAATATGTTCAATGACTGACCACTGTATATAAACTGCAAAAATAAAACTTAGGATCTATCAAACCAGGTTTCATCTGGGATCTGACACCCACTAACAGCATCAGCTGTGTTCATCAAAATATGTGCAGATGATGTTAACAATATGAGGAAAATGGTGAAGAGTCGTGTGTGTCATGGACTTGAAGATATCAACTCAAAAATGAGTGAGATCCAGACAAAGGTGGATGTGAACACAACAATGGCAAATTAAATTTAAATTTAAATTTAATCACGTAGGAAGGAAAAAATAGGTGACACATGCATTCTATGAAGATTATTGTTGAAATAATTAACAATAAAGTTTAAAAAGAGCTGGTCTGCAAACACTTGACATTCAGCATGATTATTGAATGCAAAGTTGCTATCTATATTGCTAATAAAAAGTTTTGAAGATATGGGACAATGTTTTCTCTGTGGGTTGGTCTGTGGATTTTTTTTTTCCTCAGAGAGCAGTGGAAACAGTCATTGAATACATTCACAGGGAGTCAATGATTTAGAGATGGGGGCTGACAGGAGAGTGGTGGTAAGACACCACCCTGATCAACAATTATTTTAATAAATAGCAGAACAGGCTTGAAAGAACTGGCTTACCCAGTTCCCAAGTCCAGTGTTCACAAGTCTAACACTGAAGTGTAAGGTTGTATTACATGACTAAAAAGCTACATTAGTCAGAAGAAAGTCATGATCAGTGTTTTCCCCTCATTACATCTTGCCTCAAGTTCTGTGTAAAATCTGATAAATATTTTGATGGTTTATTGTTTAAGAATTGTGACCATAAAGCAAAGATGTAGAAATTCAAACAGGTCAAATGTAATTGTCGCACTTCTTGATTGGACAATAGAGGTGAAAATCCTAAAATATTTAAATGCAAAATGCTTTTCTTTTGGGTAGATGAACAAAGCAGGGTTAAATCAGCTTCTTCTTCTACCTTCTGAATTTATCATGGGAAAACTGCTGGTCTTTAAGCAAAAGACAAAAACAGGAAACCTTGAACCCCTGTCTGCCCTTTTCTGGCTGATATTACTGCAATATCAGGAAAAAGATAATGTTGCATTCATAAGTTGTGAGGGCAAACAAAATGAACAAAGGTTTTGATTCAGAAACTTTTTTCATGTATTTGTTTTGAGCACTGCTGCAGGTGGACCAACCTTTACAGTTAGATTGTAAGGTCACATTAAAATGGTATTGTCAAATTAGATCAATTGAAGATGACTGTCTTATTAATTTCCACCTGCCAATATTCTCCCATTTTTCTTTCCTTCAGGTGTTAACGTATCATAATATGTTCCATAATTGGTATAGGATCCTCCAGCATTTCAGTCAAGTGACCATTCTTCATGTTGGCCTTGATATTTGCCCAATTCTGTCTTTCACCAGTGTTCTGGATGTAACAGGGTTGCTAGCTAGTGGCCTACTGTCAAAATATAGGTTGACTTGATGAGGCCGATGTCAGCAGTCTGAATTTAGCTGAGCTCAATGGATTATAGAACTGCACAGCCCAGGATTGGGCCCTGCGGCCCACAATGTTGTGCCGAACATGACGTCAAATGAAACTAATCCCTTCTGCCTGCCCTTGGTCCATATCCCTCCATTCCTTGCATGTTCATGGGCTTATCTAAAAGTCCCTTAAATGCCCCTTTATGAAAGAAGCTTTATTTTTCACATCTACTTTGCTCAGTTATTCATTTCAAATCAGTGCCCCACTAGTTAGTATGGGTGTTTACAATTTTATTCAGATATTTATTGTTTTAACAATGTATCTCCTACCAATGCACTTAAACAGGACATTAATGTCATTGATATCATTGTTTTCCATGCACACTGCACTGGAACGGGAAGTGGTTCACCTATTGTTGTTGCTTCTCCTTTGCCACTCCATTCTCTGCACCCTTTGCCAGCCCACTCCCCTTGCCCCTCTGTTCTGTTTTTGCCAGCCCACTCATCACCCCTTTTGCCCTCCCTTCAGTGGCCCACTCTCCATTCCCCTTGGTACTTTGCTGGCCTTATCATGGTGAACTCATGCACCTCTGATTGTAATTTAATAACTTTACATCGTGTCCCTATGAACCCAATTGAAATCGGATCAAGAAGTATAGTTTTCAATTTTTAAAAAAAATTGCCTTTCAATGGCTGGGATTGCATGTGCTGTTGGGGTTTGTTGGCAGCAAACACAGTCTTGTTCTGTTAAATGGTGTTGCATGTTTCACAATTTTCTTGCGAATGTGGAGTTAACTATGATACTTCCATTCACTTCAAAATGTTTCTGGTAGCTGAGAAATCAGTCCTGGTAACAAATATCTGATACCAAAAGCAGCAGAGGTGAGTTACCTAACAAATGGAGATGGCACTTTAGGAAGTGCATGCCCCATCATACTCAAAAACTCACATTTTTTTGCAGAACTGCTAAACTAGTGTGCATTTTGAAAGTTGAGCAATCAGGACTATGTTGGGAAAGCTATTTACCAATCTCTTCTGTAACTTATTTTAATGTATTCTGTCCGCTCCCTTTTTAAATGAGAATGTTTTGTTTCAGGAAATTTCACTGGACAGATTTTATTAATGGAGGATAGTGCAGGATTCTTTCTGAATATGTGGGATGTCATTCAATTGAAATTTCTTATCAAGGAACATGCTTTGCTATATGTGAAATTGTGCAACTTCCTTTTTTTTTCCTGACTGAGTCTTTGTAACAGAAAAGTGTCTTTGTTTTCTCACTGGTTCCTGTACAGCAGCAGTACAGAATTAGTGGCCAGATCTTCCCTGGCTGTGCCAAAGTTTACACCTGAATTCTTTATGGAACTTGAACTTAATTTGCTGAGATCAGAACATAAAAACTTGTATACAATAAACACTCAGGCCACCAAAATGGTAATAGGGGTTGGTTACCGTCTTCTGACAATGTCTTATTCTCAGAAAGTTTTGTCTTTGGTTGATTTTCCTCTTCAAATATTGGACAAGCAAGGATATTAGATAAAGTCCTGCCATTCATAAATTAGGTTCATGGAAACTTTCATAAATGGCAAATGTATTTTCCAATTGCAATCAATTAGATGAGTGCCAACCATCCAAAAAAAAAACTGAAATGTACAATAGACTGTAGAAGATAAATGACAATTAAAAACAAAACCAAATCTACACTATTGTAAAAAATAGTTTGATAAATAAGATTTGTCACATTTCCCCTGATTTAAAGGATCTCCTGCAGAATTCAATGATCATAGCAAGGGACATCACATGCCATCAGTCCAGTAGGCAAACAGCAGATGATGGGCTTAGGGTTAGTCTGCACTCGCACAGCAGACTTTCTCATATAGAGAATATAATACGTCTTAGACCCCTTCCATAACTTAGAAATTGCACATCTTACATTCACCTAGACGCTCTTCCATTTTGTGTCAATATCTCCAAATTTTCATCTTTCTCTGAAAACTGTGGATAAGTGAACCTTTCGATCTGTGATGGGTGAAGTGGTGAGCTTGCTATTTTGCAGGGATAAGCAAATTTGCAAATAGCAAAGAAGTGAATGGTAGGTCTTTACTGTATTCATTAGAAAGGCTATTCCATCTGGTTAGTCCCCCTGAACAGGTGGGATGAGGAAGAGGGCATTCCACAATTGAGACCACTGTAATTTACACCACCTTGGTTAAATGTGGCACAGGCCTCAATGTGTAAAAGAATTCAAAGAAAATTTACAGTCAAAATTCCACACATTGCAGTTATGCTTAATTATCAACCAATTTTGGGATATGCTGCAACACAATTATTGGGCATACCTTTTGTATTTACATGGGAAGGCAGGCTATGTAAACAAATTTCAGCAGATACACCTTGAATTTAGGGCAACAATTTGCACGTCTCAATGTTTTACTGTGTAAGTCTTGCTGATCCATTCATTCTGTTGTGCACAAAATCTTCCAGTGTGATCTTGTGTAACCAATATTTTGGGAGATAAAAGAAAGAGAAATGCCATTATCTTAGTGTGTTTTTTAAAGCAGAAAATGTTAGTATGTGAATTGATGTGACTGCTTTGTCTTTTTGCAGTGGGTAAATGGGGCTGAGGTTGCCTTTCATGAAGGTGGTCACCTTCCTTTTGAAGCAGACATCACTAAAGTTATTCAGAACAGGCCAACTAATAAATACAGAATCACCATTGCAGTAAACAACACACTTACCCCTTATACTTTACCTCCTGGAAGGATTCAGTACATGACTGATACAAAAAGGTGAGGCTGAATAAAATCAACTTTGTTAATTTGTTTCTCATGTGAGTATCAGTGGAAGGTTGACGTTTATTGCCTGCCCCAGTTGTGTTTGGGAAGATGGTGGTGAGCCATCTTCTCGAACCTCTGAGGGTCATTTGACTTTTCTATAGCAGTTTGATACAATGGACTGAATTGTTTGGAAATGATCGGTGCATATTGATGAGAAGCAGGAACCCTGACTTACCTGCGACACTGAGACTAAAAATTGTTCTACATTGTTTTTTTTTACTGAATGTTGTCATTGTTGGTTAGACAGCATTTACAGCCCTTGAGAAGGTGGTATTGAGCTGAGTTCTTGAACCACTGCACTCCATAGAGGTTAGTTATACCCACAGTGCTGTTAGGAAGGGAATTCCAGAATTGTGATCCAAATACAACAAAGGAATATAATTTCAAGTCAGATGATGAGTAGCTTGGAGGAGAACTTGCAGGTTGTGGTGTTCCTGTGTATTTCCTGCCTTTGTCCTTCTAGATCATAGAGGTTCACAGGTTTGAACAGTGTTGTTGTCTAAGGAGTCTTGTTGAATTTCTGCAGTGCATCTTGTAGCTGGTATAGACGGCTGCCACAGTGCATTGGTGGTGGAGGAAGTGAACGTTTGTGGATATGGTGCCAGTCAAGCAGGCTGTTATGTTCTGGATGGTGTCGAGCTTCTTGAGCTTTATTTGCCCAGGCAAGTAGGGAGTATTCCATCACACTGATGACTTGTATTTTCTGAATGGTGGACAGGCTTTGTGGAGTAGAAAGGTGAGAAACTTCCTGCAGAATTCCCAGCATCTGACCTGCACTTGTAGCTTAGAGTATTCTGGTCAGTTTCTGATCAGTGGTGACCTCAGGGTTTTGATAGTGGGGGATTCCAGCCAGCTGGTCAGATTCTACGCCAGAAAGCTAGTTTATCCGAATAAACCTGGATCAAGTTCCCCTCTCAATCTTTTCCCCCAGTTTTGAGAGATTGTCCTGTGACTCTCAAACCCTGTGCTACCTTTGATTGACCGCCAGTGCCGCTCTTCCTATCCCCTGGTCCTCCTGTCCCTAACCCTAACCTGGCCAAATGTTAGGTAAGGTTTCCATTGGTTTTGATTCTACCTCAACACATTACTGCTGTAGCCTGAATCCATTTGTTACTTTTGCCTTTTATACTTCTAGATTAGAATATTCCAATGCACTTCCTGGCCAGTTCTCTACTCTCTGTAAACCTCTGGTCATCCAAAACTCTGCTGCTTGCGTCTTAACTTGCAACAAGCTTGTTCATCCAACCTACATTGGTTCCCTGTTAAGCAATGTCCTGATTTTAAATTTTTCATCCCAGTTTTCAAATCTATTTATGGCCACAGCACTCCCTATTTCTGTAATCTCTTCCAGTCCTACAACTCGGAGATAGCTGCATTCCTTCAATTCTGGCACTTATGAGGATCCTTGATTTTAAGCACTCACACCACTGGCAGCCATGCCTTCCGCTGCCAAGGTCTAAGTCTGTCCCTTACCCTGTAAAATCCTTCTTAAAATCTATGTCTGACCAACCCCTTAATCATTCACCTCTTTGTTTCCTAATCTCTCAATCTCAGATTTTGTTTGGCAAAACACCTGTGAAATGGCTTGGGACGTATTATATGAAGACAATTTGTCATTACTACCTGCTCTGTTGGAAAAGATTAATTTTTTTAACTGTTCTTTAATGGGATGTGGGCATTGCTGACTAGACTGGCATTTATTGCCCATTCCTAACTGCACTGGAGAAGGCAGTGGTGAGCAGCCTTCTTGAACTGCTGCACTCCCTGATGAGATTGATATTTGAGGTAGACCATCATGAATGTCAGTAATGGGATTTTGCTTTAGTAGTAACATTCCTGCCTGTCAGAGGAGGTTGGATTGGGATCCTATTGTACACAACACCAGCAATGTTAAATATAAGGTCTTCATGAATAAGTGTAGTAGGAAATTCAGGGGAAATGTTTTTACTGAGACGTGAGAATAATGTCAAGTGGAGTAGTTGAGGCAAACAACATGCTTGTGTATAGTAGGAATCAAGATCAGTGGAAATAAAGAAGAGAGGAGTGTGTTGACAGCATAAGATGAAGGACAGTGGAAGGAGTCTGATGTGGAGCTAATGCAATCTGGTATAGAATGATTGGACAGATTGGCTTGCTTTATAGAGTAAAGACCACGTTATGTAATTGGATAGCTTTTAGAGAGCTGGAACAGGCAGAATGGGCTGAATGGTCACCCTTTATGTTGTACCATTCTACAAAGTACAAAGCTTTATGCTTAAGGTGAATAATAAATAAGTACAAAGATATTTAAAAAAAGAGAGAAAAATTGGAAGATACTCAAGTTCAGGGCAATGTTAGTTCGCCAGCAACATCTTTTACTGAGTTTGTACATTCACTGGGCAAAGAGAGTCAGAATATTAAACCCTCTCTTAATGATTTATTTTGATTATTTTGGATTTAATTTATTTGTTGTAATGACCCTGTTTGAAAATATTGTGAGATGTTACATCACATTGTTCAGATTTTTTCCTTGTAAATCTGTGTGTTCTGGATTTACAAAGCAGCACCAAGTTACAGAGGATTTTAACAGAAATATTATCATGATCCACTTAAAATAAGGCAGTAATGCTGAAATGTTGATATTTAGGAGATAGAAAGCTGAGTTAGGAAATACAAACTTCTCTCTAAACAGTATCTGAATTAAAGTCACTTCTTTGCAAATTTTCAGATATCCTCTAGGTTACTTTGTACAGATTACACAATTTGATTTTTTCAACTATGCTGGGATTCATCGACCAGTTTTACTATACACCACGCCCAGTGTCTACATAGATGATGTAACCATTGTAACAGATTTTGAAGATGATATAGGTAAGTTATGTGTCACCCTGTCAGAAAAAAGCAGCAAGTGTAATCCTAATAGGTGCTATTATTAACTTCAAAGGTTTGATCTAGAAGAATGAAATGGTCAATCTAAGAAAACACATTGTTCAGTACAACCTCGGCACAAATGCCACTATTCATACATGAATTCATTATAATTTTATATTTCATTTCCTATAGTCTAGGTTTTAGGATGTTGCAGTGCGATATTTTCTTGAAATTTGACCTATACTATTTGGCTGAAAAGGAGAACACAAACCAACTCTAGTAACTGATTCTGCTTTTCCCTAGGCATTGTACATTATGAAATATCCATACAGGGGAGCGCACACTACTCATTATCAGTAAAGTTGTATAACCAAAGAGGACAGGCTGTTTCTTCAGTCACAGGTGGACCTCCAGTTGGACGTTTGATAATAAATCAACCAATTCTTTGGTGGCCATACCTAATGCATGAGAGCCCTGCATACCTTTACAGCCTTGAGGTAAGTCTCCCAAAACTTTCCAAGTCCCAGTGCTAAAATAACAGATTAGAGATAGGAGATAAGACAAAGTCAGCCATGACTCAGTTGGTAGCACACTGTCATGAGAATCAGAAGCTTTTGTGTTCAAGTTCCACTCCAGGACTTGTGTCATAGCCTTGATTGTTGTGCTCATTTTTACAGTGTTGAGGGAGTGCTGCACTGTCAAAGATGCTTTCTTTCAGATGAGATGTTAAATTAAGTCCTGATCTGCCTACCTGGGTGCATGTGAAAGATCCCATGGCACTTGGGAGGTATTCCTAATGTCTGAGCGAATGTTTATCCCTTGATAGTATCACAAAATACACATTGTGGTCATTATCATAATGCAGCTTGCGGAGGTTTGCTGAGTGCAAATTGCTGTTGTAGGAATTGCAACAGGCAATTGCACATCAAAAGCACTTTGATGACTGTATTGTGCTTCAGGAGGTCCTTTGGTTGTAAAAGTTGCTGGATAAAGAAATTTTTTTTCAGACGAGTCCAAAACTGGAAATTTGGGAATTGAAAAATAATTTAAGGTCTTGTAACATGAAATGATATTTTCTACAGTAATATCACTTTAGATGTAATGAAACACTTAGACATGCATTAAACCAGTTTCCCGTGGCTCTGTAGTATCATACAAATCCATGTAATTCCAAAAACAAAAGAGTTTTCTATCTCAATTTATCAAGGAGTAATGGAAAGTTGCTTTTATTATAAAGTACTGCAAAATAACAGTGGAGCAGATTGCTGACCTGATATTGGCAATGACCATGAAAATTAATAGGCAAGGACAGGTTCTGCAAATGTTTACCTTTCTCTTCCACTTCCACCCTACCTTTTTTTTATTTAGGACCATGGTTTTCACTATGTGGGTGTAAATCCTATCAATCAATCAATTAAAATTTACAATAAAACTTGATGATTACACTGTCCTTGAAATTTGGGGATTACATGCAAATCTCTCAAATCTATTACTCAAATAATATATATTTTCCAAAACCATTTATACTCAGGTTTACGTAAAAAGCAAAAATGGTAGCGCCTCTTATGAAGATGTTTACACATTACCAGTTGGAATTCGTAAGGTTCAAGTCACCAAGACCCAGTTCCTTATCAATGGGAAGCCATTCTATTTCCATGGAGTGAATAAACACGAAGATTCAGATGTGAGTATATATCGCTGTGGTTGGCCAATGTTTCCTGTTTACATCTGTTCTGCTTTGGATGGGGCACCATTTCCTGTGCCATTAAATGATAAGTGTATTATCTTCAATTTGCTCAAGGTGACACTGTTGCCAATAAACATTGAACCACTATAATAAATTGGATAAATTGCTTGTAATTGTATTGTCAATTTATTCTGCTGAGGCAGGCAAAATTTCTGCTGAAAGTAACAGTAAGTTCAATCACCAAAGGATGTTTAAATAGGCTTGTTGGAGTATTAACACCTTTTCCACTGAATGGGTTGATTCCGTGCTGTGCAATCTTTATTGGAAGTCGGCACAACTTACTGATATCTAATAGAAACATTGTACGCATGATCCAATTTCTGCTTTCACCTTTGCTCCTAGATAGTCAACTGACCATCTTCTTCCTTGGGCTTCATGATTTCTTCAGTCATCTTCAATCAGGGGCAGCACGGTGGTTCAGTTGTTAGCACTGCAGCCTCACAGAGCCAGGGACCTGGGTTCGATTCTGCCCTCAGGCGACTGTCTGTCTGTGTGGAGTTTGCACATTGTCCCTGTGTCTGCGTGGGATTCCTCTGGGTGCTCCAGTTTCCTCCCACAGTCCGAAGATGTGCAGGCTAGGTGGATTGGCCATGCTAAATTGCCCATAGTGTTTATGGATGTGTAGATTAGCTGGGTTTTAGGGGGATGGTTCTGGGTGGGATGCTCCGAGGGTTGGTGTGGACTTGTTGGGCTGAAGGGCCTGTTTCCACACTGTAGGGATTCTATGATCTATGATCTTAATTGCTAAGCTTTAGTTGCGATAAGATGTCTTTAAAAAATAGAGAAATTGCTAAGGTAGCATTGCTGACTGAAAGGGAGAATTTTTCAATTTGTGCAATTGTGTACCTCTGCCAAATCTCTTGGTTAGCCATGAGTTTGGAGGAGCAAATAAAAGTTATTGTTTTGCAAATGTGTCTTTATGTAAAATATTTATTAATTCACCCACCAGATACGAGGGAAAGGCCTTGACTGGTCGTTGATTATCAAGGACTTTAACCTTCTTCGATGGCTGGGTGCAAATTCTTTCCGTACAAGCCATTATCCGTATGCAGAAGAAATTATGGATTTGTGTGACAAATATGGGATTGTGGTCATTGATGAGTGCCCAGGCGTGGGCATCAAAGATCCGTAAGAGATACTTCTTAAATTTCACAACTTGGGAGAATTCACACAAGATGCTCACTGGTTCAATCTCAGTTTTTGTTCACGTGAAAAGAGCTTTTTACAATTGCTGCATGTATTGTTTCTATTTTGTTCCACATTTTTTGGATCTTTCTCTTGCTTCATGGTGAAAGGTTATTATTTCTGTTAAATTTTTACCAAAAAGGACCCATTGACCTAAATGCAGTTATAGAGTTGTACAGCATGGAAACAGACCCTGCAGTCAAACTCTTCCACGCTGACCAGGTATCCTAAACTGATCTAGTCCCATTTGCCACCACTTGGCCCATATCCCTCTAAATTCTTCCTATTCATGTACCCATCCAGATACCTTTTAAATGTTGTAATTGTACCTGCCCCCACCGTTCCTTGTTCCATACATGCACCACCCTCTACATGAAAAAGTTGCCCGTCAGTCCCTTCTAAATCTTTCCCTCTCACTTTAAACCTATAAGATCATAAGACATAGGAGCAGAAGTGAGGCCATTCAGCCCATTGAGTCTGCTCCGCCATTCAATCATGGCTGGTAAATTTCTCAATCCCATTCTCCTGCTTTCTCCCCGTAACCCTTGATCCCCTTGAAAATCGAGAACCTATCTATCTCTGTCTTAAAAATACTCAATGACCTGGCCTCCGCAGCCTTCTGTGGCTGTGAATTCCATAGATTCGCCACTCTCTGGCTAACAGAGTTTCTCCTTATCTATGTTCTAAAAGATCTTCTCTTTACTGTAAGGCCATGCCCTCAGGCCCTAGTCTCTCCTACCAATGGAAACATCTTCCCAACATCCACTCTGTAAACCTATGCCCTTTTGTTTTGAATTCCTCTGCCCTCGGTGATAAATACCTTAGCTATTCACCCTATCCATTCCCCTCATGATTTTATAAATCTCAGCCTAAATTGTTCCAGCGAAAATAGCCCCAGCTTATTCAGCCTTTCCCTATAGCTCAAGCACTCCAACCCTGGCAAATCTTTTCTGTAAATCTTTTCTGAACCCTTTCAAGTCTAACAACTTCTTTTGCTATTGCAAGGAGAGCAGAATTGAATGCAGTATTCCAAAAGTGACCTGACCAATGTTCGTGCAACTGCAACATGACATCCCAACTCCTATACTCAATGCACTCACCAATAAAGGCAAGTTTTCCAAATCTGCCTTCATTGCCCTGCCTTTATTGTACCTGTGACTCTACCGTCTAGGAACTATGAACCTGCATCCCAAGATCGCTGTTTCACAACGCTCCCCAGGACATTACCATTAACTGTATAAATCCTGTCCTGATTTGCCTTACCAAAATGTTACACTTCCCATTTATTTAAACTAAACTCTATCTGCCACTCCTCGGCCCATCCGATTGAGGTCCTGTTATATTTTGAAATAACCTTCATTGTTCACTACACTAATTTTGGTGTAATCTGCAAACTTACTAACCATTCCTCCTATATTCACATCATCAATCATTTATATAAACAACAAAAAGCAGCAGACCCAGCACCGATCCTTGCAGCACACCGCTGTCACAGGCCTCCAGTCCAAAAAACTACCCTCCTCCAGCACCCTCTGTTTCCTGCCCTCAAGCCAATTTTGTATCCAAATGACTAGCTCTCCCTGGATTCCATGTGATCTAACCTGGCTAACCTTGCTGAAGTCCATATAGATAACATTCACCGCTCTGCCTTCATCAATGTTCTCTGTCACTTCTTCAAAAAACTCAATCAAGTTAATGAGACAGGATTTCCCACGTGCAAAGCCATGTGGACTATCACTAATCAGTCCTTGCCTATCCAAATACATCCAAATCCTGTCCCTCAGAATCCCCTCCAACAACTTACCCACCACCGATGTCAGGCTCATGGGTCTATAGTTCCCTGGCTTTTCCTTACCACACTTTCTTAAATAATGGCATCACATTAGCCACCCATCAGTCTTCTGCCACCTCACCTGTGGTTATTGATGGTACAAATATCTCAGCAAAGGGCCTGGCAATCACTCCCGTAGCTTCCCACAATGTTCTGGAATACACCTGGTCAGGTCCCGGGGACTTATTCACCCTTATGTGTTTTAAGACATCCAACACCACCACCTCTATAATATGGACACTTTTCAAGATATCACTATTTATTTCCCCACATTCTCTAGCTTCCATATCCTTGTCCATAATAAATACTCATGCAAAATAATCATTTAGTATCTGCCCCATCTCCTGCGGTTCCACACATAGATAGTCTTGTTAATCTTTAAGGGGTCCTATTCTCTCCCTAATCACTCTTTTGCCTTTAATGTATTTGTAGAAACTCTTTGGATTCTCCGTAACCCTGTTTGTCAAAGCTATCTCATGTCCCTGTTCTCTCCTCCTGATTTCCTTCATGAGTATACTCCTACTGCCCTTATACTCCTTGAGGGATTCACTCGATCCCAGCTGTTTGTACCTGCCATATGCCTCCTTTTTCTTGACTAGAGTCTCAATTTCTCTAGTCATCCAGAATTCCCTACAACTACCAGTCTTGCCCTTCACATTAACAGGAACATACTGCCTCTGGACTCTTGTTGTCTCATTTTGAAGTAATAACTACTCGCTTTATCCGCGAATAGGTTCTCCCAATCAATTTTTGAAAGTTCTTGCCTAATACCATCAAAATTAGCCTACTCCAATTTAGAACTTTAACCTTTAGATCAGGTCTGTCCTTTTCCATAACTACTTTAAAACTAATACAATTATGATCACTGGCCCCAAAGTGCTCCCCTCCTAACACCTCAGTCACTTGCCCTGCCTTATTTCCCAAGAGAAGGTCATGTTTTGCTACTTCTGTGGTAGGCACATCCAAATACTGAATCAGAAAATTTTCTTGTACAGACTTAACAAATTACTCTCCATCCAAGCCCTTAACACTTTGGCAGTCCCAGTCTATGTTTGGAAAGTTAAAATCCTCTACCATTACAACCCTATTGTTCTTACAAATATTGGAGATCTCCTTACAAATTTGTTTCTCAATTTCCTGCTGACTGTTGGGGGGTATAGTACAATCCCAATAAGGTGATCAGCCCTTTCTTATTTCCCTGGAACGTTTAAGCTGCCAGTCCTGTCCATCCCTGACTCTCATCTCTGTAGTTGCTGTGATATCCCAGTCCCATGTCCTCAACCATGCCAGGAGTTCATCTGCTTTACCTTTCAGGTCTCTTACATTGAAATAAATACAGTTTAATTTATCAGTCTTACCTTGTTCTCTCCCTTGCTGTTGCCTGCCTTGACTATTAGACTTGGTCCTGTTATCAACTGTACCAACCTCAGACGGACTTCTCAGCATCTCTTTGGGTTCCACCAAAACCACCCCACCGCCTCCCCACCCAGCCAATAGTTTAAAGTCTCCTGAGTAGCACTAGTAAATCTCCCCACCAGTATATTTGATTCCTTGCAATTCAGGTGAAACCTGTCCCTCTTGCACAGGTCATTTCTACCCCAGAAGAGATTCCAATGATCCAAAAATGTGAATCTTTGCCCCCTGCACCACCTCCTCAACCATGCATTCATCTCCTCTATCCTCCTATTCCTACTCTCACTAGCACTTGGCACTGGGACTAATCCAGGTATTATTACTCTCAAGGACCTACATTTTAACTTTCTGCCTAATTTCCTATTTTCTCCCTTCAGAACCTCCATTCCCTTCTCTTCCAATGTTTTTGGTACCAATGTGTACAATGACCTCCTGTTGGTCACTCTCCCATTTGAGAATATTCTGTACCTTCTCCGAGACATCCTTGACCCTGGCACCAGAGAGGTAGCACATCATTCTGATAGTTTGCTGTTAGCTGCAGAAACGTTTGTCTGTGCCCCTGACAAGAGTTCCCTATCACCATTGATTACTTTGAACCTGACATACCCCTCATTACCGCAGAGCCAGTCTTGGTACCAGTGACCTGGCCATCAGTGCTCCATTCCCCTGTGAGGCATCCTCCCCATTACAGTTTCCAAAACAGCATACTTGTTTGAGATAAATATTGAGATATTTTTAATGTACCTGTTTGAACATTGTATTACAAACCTCTGGAGTAGATGGGACTGGATCCCAGGCCTCCTGGCCCAAAGGTAATACTACCACCATGCCACAACAGCCCAAAGCTAAATACTTGATTATAAAATAATTACGTGAAAATTAGAGAATCACTATTTGCTTAATTCAGTTTGGTTTCACGTATTATCACAATTATTGCCAGTGTTCCCCCTAATGGACTGTGGTCTATTTCACACAAAGGAAACCAAACCATTTATTATCAATCTCAGAAAAAGCTTCTTTTGAATTAGGTGAAAAATTTTATTTGTGGTTAATAATGTGGTTATGTATATATTGAGCAACACTTCAAGTTTAAATTGAAGTTTGATTCCGCTTCCTTATTCCTGCGTCCCCACCTTCATTGGGACATCTCTGAGGGAATTGTCACTCCTTTATTTTGTTGTTTACAGAAAATATAATTGTCAGATCTTATAGAATAAAGATGACCATTTAGAAGGGAGCTAATGATCTCCTATGGCAATGGTGGTTGTAAAATATAGCACTCAACTGCTTACTTCAGGTCTCATAGTCAAGTTGCTGTTAAGTGAAATCTGAGAGATTAGGGTGTAATTGCTGTTCAGATTGCAGGGTCAAATTCTGGCTTTATCTTTTATACATAGACAAAGTTACATAAAAGTTACAGCAATCCAAATGTGTCTCAAATTGATGGTCTCAAGTGTAACAGACAAGAACTGCATTTTAGATGATGAATCTTCTCTGGTGCTGTTTACACCAAGTCTTGCAATGCACTGTGTATAAGAAGATGAACATTATACCATATCCAGTAAATTATGTCCCTTGAACATTGCAAAGTCAAATTGCTATTAAGTAAATGCTTCACTTTGCATTTTCCTAATGGGACTGGAAAAGTGAAAGGGTGGGAATTTTCCACACCCGTGTTGTACATTGGGAGGTAGGAATTTCTATCAAACAAAAGACTATTTAGTGTACCTCCCTAATCCTAACTGTAGTATAGTTGAGACAACAAGGTGCAGGGCTGGATGAACACAGCAGGCCAAGCAGCATCATAGGAGCAGAGAGGCTGACGTTTCGGGCCTAGACCCTTCATCAGAAAAGGGGGAGGGGAAGGGGGTTTTGAAATAAATAGGGAGAGAGTGGGAGGCGGATAGAAGAGGGATAGAGGAGAGGATAGGTGGAGAAGAAACAAACAGGTCGAAGAGGCGGGGATGGGGCCAGGAAAGGTGAGTGTAGGTAGGGAGTTAGGAAGGGGATAGGTCAGTCCAGGGAGGACGGACAGGTCAAGGGGGCGGGATGAGGTTGGTCGGTAGGAGATGGAGGTGCGGCTTGAGGTGGGAGGAGGGGATAGGTGGGAGGAAGAACAGGTTAGGGAGGCAGGGACGAGTTGGACTGGTTTTGGGATGCGGTGGGGGGAGGGGAGATTTTGAAACTTGTGAAATCCACATTGATACCATTGGGCTGCAGGGTTCCCAAGCGGAATATGAGTTGCTGTTCCTGCAACCTTCGGGTGGCATCGTTGTGGCACTGCAGGAGGCCCAGGATGGACATGTCGTCTGAGGAATGGGAGGGGGAGTTGAAATGGTTCGCGACCGGGAGGTGCAGTTGTTTGTTGCGAACCGAGCGTAAGTGTTCTGCAAAGCGGTCCCCGAGTCTCCGCTTGGTTTCCCCGATGTAGAGGAAGCCACACCGGGTACAGCGGATGCAGTATACCACATTGGCAGATGTGCAGGTGAACATCTGCTTGATGTGGAAAGTCTTCTTGGGGCCTGGGATGGGGGTGAGGGAGGAGGTATGGGGGCAGGTGTAGCACTTCCTGCGGTTGCAGGGAAAAGTGCCGGGTGTGGTGGAGCTGGAGGGGAGTGTGGAGCGGACAAGGGAGTCACGGAGAGAGTTGTCCCTCCGGAAAGCAGATAACTGATAATGTTTTGGATGGAACTTAAATCACATGCAGTACCAGGAATGGCCTTCAAAATATCAGCTGCAGTCTGAGCTATCGCAAAAGTTTGAAACAAAATTGAAAGTTTTATACATAAAAACACACTAATCCTGAGCAGGAGTCAGCCACTTGACACTTTGTGCCTACCCTGCCATTCAATCAGACCATAGCTGATCTGACTTTAACTGCCTATCCCTGATATCTTTCATCCATTGCTTATCAAGAATCTATCCTTAAAAAGAATTCAAAGAATCTTTCTCCACTGTATTTTGAGGATAACAATTCCAAAGACAGTCAGGCTTCAGGGGAAAGAAATCTCGTCATCCCTGTCTTAAATGAGCAATCTCTGATTTTGAAACTGAGAGCCCCTAGTTCAGGATTCTCCTGCCAGAATCTTCCACATCCACCCTGTCAAGTCCATCAGGATCTTCAATGAAATTATCTCTTGCTGTTCTAAGCTCTAAGTGATACAAGCCTCTCCTGTTCCTCAAAAGACAACCTGCCCATTCTCGGCATTAGTCAAGTAAACCTTCTCTGAATCGAATTAAGATGATAGGTCTACATTTCATGCATACGTGCATCAAATCATAGATTTTGTGTCCAACCAGATCTTGAATGCCCCAATAGTGAAAGAACAGTTCGACTAATGTAATCACTATTAATGAGTAACCCAATAACAACTGTTACAAAGCATAAAACCTATCTTTTTCCACAGGTTACCTTCTGTATCTACAAATGTTAATCAAATCTCTTTCCAATGTTTTTTTTTTAAAAAGTGTGAGCTTTGGAAATAAATCCCTTGCTCATCATTTGAGTGTAATGGAAGAACTAGTGCACAGAGATAAAAACCGGCCGTCTGTAGTGATGTGGTCTGTTGCGAATGAACCAGCATCTGGACTGCCACAAGCAAATCATTACTTCAAGTAAGATCAGTGTATTGTAAGGATTTTCATGATTTAAATTTCAAAATTGTGAATGTTTTGGGTGTATATTTTAAAGTTTCGTGTGGAATTGATTTATTGCTTAAACATGTGGCATGTATTTTTGTTTATAATGCTTTTTAAATTTTATTTTTAAAAAAGGACGTTAATATCCTCTACTAAAGCAATGGATCCAACCAGGCCTGTAACCTTTGTTACAGACACCAGCTATGAGAATGACAAAGCTGTGAGTAATTAAATAGTCATTTGTCATTACAGAATGAAATGAAATCCATTCAAATTTTGAACCTGTTCAACTTGCTTGCAATACATTGGGTTTCTGAAGATCTGAAGCACAAGATAAAAATGAAAACTAACTTCTTTGGAAGTGGCTAGCTAATTTTTTTGCTGTACTTCAGCCATACTGGGAGGAGGTTCCTCTGAGATCACATGTATTAATTGACCATCCAATGAGAATATATAATATGGACAATATACCTAAGATTGTGCCTTTTTTTTAAGAAAGAGTTTCTTGTTAACAAATATTCATTGAATCCCAACAGTGTGGAAACGGGCCATTTGGCCCATCGAGACCACAGTAACTTTCCAAAGAGCATCCCAATGCTATTCTATGCCTGTAACCCTGCATTTCCTATGGCTAACAAACCTAGCATGCACATCCTCCTGTGGGAGGAAACCACAGCACCCGGAAGAAACCCACACAGACAGTCGCCCAAGGGTGGTATCAAACCCGGGTCCCTGGCGCTGTGAGGCAGCAGTGCTAACCACAAGGATATCAGAAGCTGGGAGTGACTGTACAAAGTAACTACAACACAAATTTTTTTACAAAGTAACTACAGGAAGTGAAGTTTGATCAACAAATGATAAATGATTGTGATGTTGAGCTAATGTCAGTTTGAGAGAGAAATGATTATCTTTGTGCTTATTCTTTCCTGTGAGGTTAAAAATCTGATATGATCTGTGAACACTGTGGCTTCGTGGGTTGTGTCAGCAACATGTTTCTGAGGCAAACATTTACATTTCTGACATGAGAAAAGGGGGAACTTCACTTTTTTGTCCTTTTCACTGTGTGACAGCAGGTTCAATCTGACACCCTGAATATTATCCATGTTTCAAGCTCTCTAAAAGTTTTAATGCTGTTTTTTGTATTTGTTTTCTGAATTTACTTCATTGCTGACCCCACAGAATTAGTTATGCAGTGGTTGTTGGTTGCACTGTGTTTGAATTGCAACTCTTACTTCCTTCAGAAATCGTCAAGTGTTGAAAATTCATTGCTAAGAATTTGATTTTTGAAATATACACTAACTTTTCAGAGTTCAAGCTGCTTACTGGAAAGACACATTTCTGGAAAAGTAAAAGGCTGGTTATGTTTTCACAGATGCAATACACCGACGTTATTTGCGTGAACAGCTATTTTTCGTGGTACCATGATGCAGGCCATTTGGAGGTCATTCAATTACAACTTAACAATCAGTTTGAAAACTGGTACAATAAATACCAAAAACCAATTATTCAGAGTGAATATGGAGCTGATACTATTGCAGGACTGCACAGTGTAAGTATAGGAAGCATCAACAATTGCATGACTGTATGTAAGCCTAATGCTAGTCTAACTAATCAAACAAAAGGAAAATAGAAATGAACAGACAAGAAATTCCTATCATGTTTGTGCACCTTTATGTAGATGTATGATTGGTAGCATGTTTGGTACAAAACAAACAATTGGAGTTGCTTTTCCTTGTTTCATCCAGAATAGATTCTAATGTGGTTTGTAGATGTTTAATCTGACAATAATTCATAAAAAGATAAAGACGAAATATTTAGTCTGACCAGCAGCTTAGTCAAAGAGATGAATTTTGGCTTTAAAGATGGAGAGGCATATGGAAACTTCAGAGTGTGTACAGTAGATAACTGATGTTATAATCCACCAATAGTAGGAGGAAGGTAGAAGACATGGCTGAATGGGTGATTTATTCACCAGGATGAGCATTTTAAAGCTGAAGTATGGGGGGACTTGGGAGGCAAAGCAGGTCAGCAAGGATAGGGGTGAGATGAATGGGATAGGATAATGGAAATAGAGTTTTGTGGTGTTTAAAAGTCTGTTCATAATAAAAGGAAAGTAGCTGAAATAGGTAGAGGACAGTGGTGGCTTCCATCTTGTTGAAATTCCAAATGCGCCATTTCATGGCACCTCAAAGAACTTTAGTGGTAAAGCAGGATTTATTGTTCTAATCTAGGAAGTTCCTTAGTAAAGGATAATACTGGAGCAAATCCTTACTCGGTCTCACGCATAGAAGTGAAACATTAAAAGCATAAACTTCCCAACTCAACTACCACAGTTTCAGAAAGTAAGCGAGCTTTGTTTTAACTGGCAATATAAAATGCCGTGATCTACTGCTGTGTCCCAGTATTTGTGATGTAAGAGTAACAGTGATGTGTATACTCTTGCATTATGTTTCTCTTACTATATGATTTTAGGAGGTGTGTTGATGTTTTTAAAAGGTATGTTGAGGGATGTTGATGTCTTGAAGCTTCGCTTGATCAGGGTGTACTGCGGCTATGTGTGCCTGTTGATTATCTGGAATATTGATCGACTCGCACACTCTTGTCCCATAGGTGCTAGTTAGTAAAAAGCTTGCTGTATCTGTTTTAAAGTCATGATGTGGAGGTGCTTGTTGGACTGGGGTGGACAAGGTCAGAAATCACACGACACCAGGTTATAGTCCAGCAGGTTTATTTGAAAACAAGCTTTTGGAGCCTCGCTCCTCCTTCAGGTGTTAGTGAGAGAGGTGGCATCAGGCACAGAATTTATAAGTAAAAGATCAAAGGGTCACACCATTGAAGATGTACTAAACAAACCTAAGGTGTTGTTAAAACTTTAATCAGTTAGAAGGTTGTAGTAGATTAATATGCATATGTAAACCTAGTTGCTTGTGTTATAACATATCCATGGCCAAAATTTACTTTACCTTCACAGTCCTGGTTTCTCTCTTTCCCACAGCTCTAATTGAACTCTCACTTTCTCCACATTGCTTTCCATTCCCATTGCTCTGACCAAACTCTCTCTTTTTGTATGTCCCTGCGGCCAACAGCTCCTGAGGTGAGACTTAAAGCCAGACTTTCTGCTCCAGAGTTGGGACACTACAACTGTGCCACAAGAGCCTCCAGTATCTCTTCCTTTTGTAGTCAAGTGAAACCTCAAATAATGCCCTCCACCTACACATTTTTAAACTTAATAAATATAAATTTTACACCTACAGTTCAATCTTAGTTTTATAGAAACATCCTCATCCCTCAGTCAGAGCAGCTGGATACCAGGAGTGGAGGTAAAGCAAGGCAAGGAAAGAGAGAGTTTGGTCAGAGCAATAGAAATGGAAAGCAATGTGGAGAAAGTGAGAGTTGAATTGGAGCTGTGGGAAAGAGAAACCAGGAGTGGGAACGTAAAATAAATTTTCTAACAGGCGCCAATCTGATCTCACCTTCAGGGGAATCAAATGGAATTGTAGCACTGTAAAGAAGCAGGTTAATTGGCTTGTGAGTATTTACTTTATCTAAACCAAGGAATATACTGGTGAATCTCATCCATTTTTAAAGATGGACAAAGGAGAGCCAGTGGACATGATCTATTTGGATTTCCAGAAGACCTTTGACAAGATGCAGCACAGCGGACTGCTAAATAAGAGCCCGTGATGTTAGGGGAAAAATACTGGCATTGGTAGACCAGCAGAGAGTGAGGATAAAGGGGTCTTTTTCAAGATGGCAGCCGGTGATTAGTGGAGTTCCACAAGGGTCTGTGTTCTATTCACATTACATATTAACGATCTGGACAAAGGAACTGAGGGCATTGTTACTATATTTGCAGACGAAACAAAGATAGGTGGAGGGACAGGTAGTGTTGAGGCTACAAAAGGACTAGGACAATCTAGGAGAGTTGGCAAAGAAGTGACAGATGGAATACAATATGGGAAAGTGTGAGGTTATGTACTTTGGAAAGAATAGAGATGTAGACTATTTTATTAATGGGAACGGCTTTGGAAATCTGAAGAATAAAGGGACCCGGGAGTCCTAGTTCAAGATTCTCTTAAGGTTAACATGCAGGTTCAGTTGGCAGGTAGGAAGGCAAATGCAACATTAGCATTCATTTTGAGTGGACCCAAATAAAAGAGCAGAGATGTACTGCTAATGCTGTATAAGGATCTGATCAGACAACACTTGGAATATTGAGAACAGTTTTGGGCTCTGTATCTCAGGATGGATGTGCTGGCTTTGGAGGGCATCCAGAAGAGGTTTGCAAGAATGATCCTGTGGAGGAAGGCCTTGTCATATAAGGAGCAGTTGAGGACTTTGGATTTGTACTTAGTGGAGTTTAGAAGGATAAGGGGGGAATATGATTGAAACTTACAGAATACCGAGAGGCCTGGATGGAGTGAATGTGGAGTGATGTTTCCATTACTAGGAGAGACAAGCACCCGAGGGCATAGTCTCAGAGCGGAGGAAAGACGCTTTAGAACTGAAATGAAGGGGGGATTTCTTCAGCCAGAGGGTGGGGAATCTATGGAACTCATTGCCACAGAGGGCTATAGAGGCCAAGTCATAGAGTGTATTTAAGAAAGAGACAGATAGGGATCAAAGGTTACAGGGAGAAGGCAGGAGAATGGGGTTGAGAAACATCAGCCATGATCAAATGGCAGAGCAGATTCTATGAACTGAATAGCTTAATTCTGCTCCTATATCTTATGGTCGTAGGCTTATTAAGTTTTTGTAAGGTTATGAATATTGGTAAGGTTTATTAGCAGTAACAATGTTATTAATTAACCAATAGAGGAATGATTGGGCTGTTCCAGTCTCGAGTGTTCATGCTCTGTGCTTGAACAGCAGGCCTTTTCCTGTGTCCTGGATAACCGCAGTTGCAGGCAGTATGATCAATAGCAGCAGGTCAAATTCTGGGTTTGGAGGAACAGTTGCGAGTCACTGTAATACATCTGTGAGATTGACAGCTTTGAGAAAAACACTTTTTTTGACCTGATCATCACATTGTTTAAAAACAGGTAAGGGGAAAGGAATTGGGTGACCACCAGGCAGGTATTGCAGAAGCCCCCTTAATATATCCAACTCTACAACCCCTATTCACCTCCCCTGAGTACTGATATATCTGCCTCTCTCCAGGTGAGTCCAGTCCAGTCCATGGCACCTTGGGTGGCTAAAATCTACAGGGGCTACAAGCAATAGTGGATGGGCAGTAGTACTGGCAGACAGGCTTATGGGAGCAGGTGGTGAACTACAGGATTCCTAGCACCTGAGACAACAAGGCGTAGAGCTGGATGAACACAGCAGGCCAAGCAGCATCATAGGAGCAGGAAGGCTGACATTTCAGGCCTAGACCCTTCATCAGAAATGCCTGACCTGCCCTTGTTGTACTATTTGTAGGGCTGGTCGGGTTCAGTTTCTGGTCAATGGTCAAAACCCCAGGATTTTGAGAGTGGTGCAGTCAATAATGACAATGCCACTGAAATGTCAAGGGGTGATAGTTGAATCCTTTCTTGCTGGAGATGGTCATTGCTGTGTTAATGTTACTTGCCACTTATCCAGATATTGCTGCATTTGGACATGGACTGCTTCAGTATCCTGAGGAATTGTACCTGGTGCTGAACATTGTGCAATCATCAGTGAACACCTCCGTTTTTGACATTATGGTGGAAGAGCAGCATAGATTACAAGAGCAAGGAGGTTAGTTAAATTTAGATTTTGAAAAAACAGTGCAGTCTCAGCTGAAGTGTTACATCTAGCTGTTGGCAATTCAGGACCGTGAGGAAGGATGTGACTGCATTAGAGAAAATGCAGGAAAGATTCATATGAGTGGTTCCAGGGAGGTGGAACTTCAGTTATGAAGATGAATTGGAGAAGTCAGCATGGTTTTCCTTGGAGAAGATAATGATTAGACATATTCAAAATCATGAACTATCTGGACAGAGTGGATAGGGAGCAAATGTTCCCACTCATTAAATGATGAAAAAATGAGAAGGCACAGATTTGGAATAATTAACAAAAATGTTTTGATACAATGAGTAGTTAATGCCTGGAATGCACTGCCTGCGTGTGTGGTACAGGCAGGTTCAATGAAGCATTCAAAAGGAGTTAAGATCAGGTCTTTAGAGATTATGGCAGAAGGCAGGAGAATAAGCATCGCATCAGGGGCTATTTAGAGAGCCAAAGCATGCACGCACACAATGGCCTCCTTCACAGTTATGTGATTAAGAACAGTGGAGTGGCTAATGGTTATGAAAGTGATGATGAATACCAATAAGTTAGATAGCAAGGCTATGTCTGAATAGAGAAATGAGCAGCTGAAAGCCTTTTCTGAAATAGAAATGAAGAGGCGGAAACTGTGAAAAACACTATTACCCACCTTGGAGACCGAGCTGAAATGACTCATGATCATTTTGAATGTGACAGTCAACTGAGATAGAAATAACCAACAGGAAATGCATGTTATAGATCAGATTGAATGAATATTATTGTGATTTACATAAATTTGTGCTTTAAGGATCCCCCAGTAATGTTTTCAGAAGAGTACCAAAAGGCTGTCATGCAGGAGTATTTTGTGGTATTTGATGAAAGAAGAAAAGACTATCTGATTGGAGAACTAATCTGGAATTTTGCAGACTTCATGACTGCTCAAAGTAAGTAATGTACTTAAACACAGAAAACGCTAGAAGTAGGTCAGGAAACATCTATGGGGAAAGAACTTAACTTTTTAAAAATAATTTCCATTATTTGCAGTATTTTGCTTTTCCATAGGGATTTATCGGGTTTATAATTTTCATTTCAGTTGATCAATCACACAGACATGGAAATATTCGTGTGCATGACTTGTACCTTTCCCCGACTCAATTTAGTTTATTCATTTAAGGGATGTGGGCATTGTCTGCTTGGCCAGCATTTATGGCCCATTTATAATTACCCAGAAGGCAGTTAAGAGTCAACCATATGGTGAGTCAGTCACATGCAGGACAGCAGTTTCCTTCCCTGAAGGGTACTAGTGAACCTGATATTTTTCTGTCAATCAACAGTTACCTGGTCAACATTAAACTCTTAATTCCAGATTTCAGTTGAATTCAAATTCCACCATCTGCCCTGGCAGGATTCAAACTCAGGCTCCCAGAGCACTACCTGGTATATTTGGATTAATAGTCTAGTGACATCACTGTGTATCAGCCTGGGGGTATCACATCAGACTTATTCATTAAGATAACCACAAGAGAACTACCGACACTTTGAAGTGGAGTGAGTGGGAGAATCTGGAAAGTAAAGAGTTTACTGCTTCAGACTCTAGTTACACATAATGTGTTATGTTGGAGCCTAATTCACCCCAGGCTTGTTTGTGGGAGTTTGCCTTAAAATGTCACATTTACTTGAGTGAGCTAAGAATGTGAAGTATTGGAAAAATTCACACAAAAGCAGGGATGATTTTGGAGCTCATCCTGTGAGCCTCATACATTTAGGGCAAAGGTTGATTGGAATGAGGTGTTAAGATTTTTCCTGGCTCTGAAATGAATTGTTAGCATAGTCAAATATTTACCTTGGAGGTAGTGGATGGTGAATTCCAAATGTGGAATTTTATTTCAATAAAAGTACAACACTACAGATACTGGAAATCTGAAACAAACACAGAAGTAAGTCTGCACTGGGCAAAGAATTATATTTGGTATTTTAAAAGAAAAGCTTTGGCTCACCTAAAAAAAAAAAGCCACTGGGAAGGAAAATAAGTGACTCAATAAGTAACTCATTTTAAAAAAAAAATGAACACCAGCCTGTCACAATGTAGACCTACCCAATAGACAAAGCAGCAGCAAGAACTGTTGTGAAAGACCTATCATTCATGTGTGTTCATAAAGTCACCATGTTTCACATTTAGTGACCCTTAATTGGCTTGATACATTAGAAAATTCAATGTATTGCATTTGCAATAACAGTGCTGGAAAAACTCAGAAGGTTTGGCTGCATCTGCCAGTTCTGAAGAAGGGTCACTGGACTCTAACTGATCACTGATTTTCTCTCCACAGATGCTACCAGACTTGCTGAGTTTCTTCAATACTTTGTTTTTGTTTCAGATCTCGGGCAACCATGGTTCTTTGTTTCATTTTAGAATACCATCCAGGTTGATTCTGGACTGGAACAGGCAATGGATTTTAAAATTATTGTTGTTTAACTAAACATGTTAGTTCAGGATTAAAAGCACCAGTAGGTATACAAGTACACTGTTTCTTTGACAGATTACAATTATGCACTCTTTACATGAAGACCTTCATTTACTTGCAGGTACAGAACGAGTAGCTGGGAACAAAAAGGGGATCTTCACTCGTCAGAGACAGCCTAAATCAGCAGCTTTCGTTCTTCGGGATCGCTACTGGAAACTGGCCAATGGGACTAAATAATTATTTTATGGTATCACGTTGGTGGCCACTGAGAATACAGAAGAAACTGCATGCAGAAGCTTTAAATGAAATATTTTTTCCTCCCTGGGGTTATGGGCTTTGCTGGCTGGTCAGCATTTCTCATCCATTCCTAGTTGTCCTTGAGAAGAATGGTGAGCTGCAGTCTCCCTCCACAACAGCTACAGTCCATTTGGTGTAGGAGGCTGTTGTTGAGGGAGATCAAGGTTTTTGGTCCAGCAACAGTGATGAAAGGGTGATCTACTTCCAAGCCAGATTTGAGTGACTGAGATAAACCTGCAGGTGGAGGTGGTGTTCCCTTGTCCTTCTAGATAGGTGGTAGTAGTGCGTAAATTTGAAGGTTCCCTGGATAACACTTTCCAGACCGACCATCAGAAACTTAGGTACATGCTGTTCCAGCTAACAAAGCCAACAGCCCCTGACTGAATATTTTAAAAATTACCCCAAAGTATTGATTCAACTCTAAGATGGTGTATGAATATTGTGTTTACTGAACTTTGTGAAGATGAGTATTTTCACTGTAAAATTCTGTCAAGGTGCTTTCTCGTCATACGTTTCAAAATTGGAAAAGACAGCATTTAGTACTGGCGCTTGTTTGTCCATTCAAGTTCAGGTTTGAAATGTTCATTTCCAATTAGACATTATTTAATTGAGTATTAATAACACAAAGACAGAATAGCTGTTGCCTCAGCTAAAATAATGACTTTGTTAACACTGCGTCACATGGAGATAGCAAGAACTGCAGATGCTGGAGTTAGAGGAACACAGTAGGTCAGGCAGCATCAGGAACAGGAAAGTCAACATTTTGGGTAGGGACCCTCCATCAGAACTATTACATAGTTTATTTTTTTAAAAGCCCACTGAAGTGTACTATGTACTAATGGCAAATTGAAATTCTAATCCTATATGCATAACGTGTCTGGTATCACTATTGGGAGCTTTCACAAAAGCTTCATTGTTATTCCTACAACTCCAATGTTTTTTTTATCTGGTAAGTAGTCTCCTTGGACATTGACAGACCTGTTATGATGGTCACAAACTACTATTTTGCCACAAAGTGGCACTTATTCAAGCTGAATTAGTTTGAATCTTTCCTAATCAAACAGGCATGTTCAATATTGTTGTGCATCTAAGTAACTTCCTACTTAAGAATCTAACAAAATGGTGTCTGAACCACCCTATTTAAGATCATTAAAACTTTGAAGGGTGACACTGTTCTTGCAGAGATAAAAATTCAGTCATGGCTGAGTTGGCAGAGTGCTCGTCCTAAGGTTCAAGTCCAACTCCAGGACCCGAGCACAAAATGAACTATTCAAGTGTGGCCGTTTAAATGATGTGATAAATCAAGACAGGTAAAAATCACAAAGCATTATTATATGGCTATAATCATTTGCTGTTTGAGACTTTATGCACAAATTGGCTCGTGTATTCTACATTTCAAAAATAGTTCATTGGCTGCAAAGCACTTTGGGTATCTGGTGTTGATGGAAAGTACTACGTAAACACAAGTAGTCTTAGCTGAAGAATTCTGAAGGGTCCCGAACCAAAACGTCAGCTTTCCTGTTCCTCTGATGCTCCCTGGCCTCCAGCTCCACACTGTTATCTGAGGCCAGCATCAGCCGTTCTATCTGCAGCTAACTTTAGACGTTTTAGAATGTAATCATATTTTGCCCCCTGTAAGCAAGGTGAACTGCAAAAGTTGAAATTGATCACAGTTGTATCATGGTTATTAAATGTTATAGTTTTATATTAAACTGGTGCTTTGGGATTGGAATTGCACGATGTCCTATGATAAAAGGCAAACTACAAACCAGTGACTGCATTTGTCATTTTATCTATTTTAAGAAACCAAGAATTCACAGCAAAATATACCAATTGAATTCTGCTTTTCACCCCCTGCCCTTTCCCCCTTTAACAGTAATTGGAATGTTTAGATTTTTTTGCCAAGATACAGGAGGATCGTGGGACTATTTTGAAAAGTTCTGATCAGAAAAGAAAATCTTTCATGCTTTAATTTCAGTTATAGTCAGTTTTAACATTTACCTAAAAGATTTTTGGAATTTTTCTGGCAGCTTTAGGGTTTTTCAAAGGTATTTGAAGTAAACTACTGTAAGCTGAGGCAAAATCCTTCAAGTTCAGTTGATTAAAAGATACTCGAACAGAGTACACATGCTGTTGCTCGGATTTAAAATGCCTTGTTCAAGTTTTTGGATGACTTCAAGTCATTCTTAAGGCCTTAGGAAATTGTGTGGTTGTGTCATTGTGATTTTTTTTGGAATAGCCAAAACCAGTTCAGACATCAGAAATTTCACTTAGAGAATGCTTTGTTCCAAGAAGAAAGCACAGATCCGGATCGTTCATTAAACACTTTTGTTCAAAGTGTTTATTAGTTCTCTTATAAAAGTGCTGATTATGGATCAGATACAGATTGTCCAAAATTGTTTGGTAGGGGTGATAATTAGGATTCCTGACACCGTGAGACTACTCAGATTCCAGTTACAATGTTGAACTCCAGGTCAACTCTTGTGCCAGCAGTGAAATAGGACATACTGTCAGACAATACCCTACCCTTCCAGGAGTATGACGACATCACGTTGTCCTTGTCTAGTAAATAGGACAGCTCTTGCAAATTGGCACAATTTCATAATTGTTAGTAAAATGGATTTTGTAGAAATAGGAGGACTGAGTTTTCTTTTCTGTGCCTAGGTTGATGCTGTGTGGTCTATCCAATTTCATCACTTTGTACTGGCCTGAAATGCAATTACAGAGGCTATTTGAAATCTCAATGGATCTGGAGAGACACTTTGGGCCAGACCAGAGAAGAACAACAATTTTCTTCAAAGGGCATTAGTGACCCATGGACCAGAAACTGAATTGAGCTAACCATGCATATGGTAGCTACAACAGCAAATACCTTCCCCTCCTGACTCTCCAAAGCCTGCCCATCATCTGCAAGGTGGAGGTCAGTACTGACAGAACATGCCCTACATGCCTCAATGGGTACAGCCCCAGTAACATTCAAGAAGCTCAATACCATCCAGGCAAAGTCACCTTCCTTGACTGACACCCTGTCCATCACCTTGCAGCAGTTCACAAAAGCTCCTTCGATAGTGACCTCTACCACATAGAAGATTGATATTGACAGATGCATTGGAATATCACCACATGCAAGTACCCCTTCACACGATCTTGATTTGGAACTACCTCATTGTTCCTTCACTGTTGCTGGGTTAGTATCCTGGACGCTCCCACCAGCAGTTTGGTGCATCTAACCAATGCAGAGGTTCAAGGAGGTATCTTACCAGCAACTTCTAGGGCAATTAAGGATAGGTAATAAGTACTGGTTTAGCCAGCAATGGCCCTAGTATATGAATGAATTAAAAATGCATGTAAAATACAGACAGAATAGGTGAAACTTACCCATACATTCTTAAGGTTCTCATTTCGGGAAAAATTATTTAGCTGAGTAGATAATGAACATATTTAAAATTAATCACAATGTTCTAAAAATTTAAGACCAATATTAAAATTCATTTGGAAGGGGCAGTGCACTACAGTTAGCTGTGGGCACTGTTGCAAAGTTGGTATAATACTTGTGGATTGGAAGGCAGGACATTAGATTTTGTTTGTAAAATGATGGGGGGCTGGGAAAGGAGATTGCGTGTTCCCTTTAAAAGATTTTTTAAAATATGTCTGCAGGCAGCAGCAGTGCACAGAGTTCTTGAAATTGAAACATTATATCAAAAGACTATACCGATGACAGGCAAAGTAGCATTTTTACCAAGACAAAGATTTTTGAATTTAGCCAATTAATTTAAACCAGGCCCTAGATAATCAAAACCAGAATTAAATTTAATTCTGATGGATTTGACTACCTAGGACCAATCCTATTGTTTAAAAAAAAAAAAAATCGATAGGTCATCAAGGGTATAAAAGAACAGGCCATTTGAAAAAAAAGCAGTGTGACAGTCAACTGTCATCTGCCAAGCAAACAGCTGTCAGCTATAAAGAATGAATCACTGGCTCTCACAAAACCATCATTTTCAGTAAAGGTACAGCAGTACTCTTAACTAATATTCCTGAAAGAAGAATTCTATGGAGGAATACGTTCTTGACTGGAGGACAGCAGAAAAGGAAAAGAACAAGCCCAGAAGACTTATCTTGGCTGTAATTGAGAGATTAATAAGAAAAATAAGTTAAAACTTACTTTGGTATAAGTGAGACTTATATTTATTGGAACAGCATACCATAAGAATTTTGTTTTATTTGGGAATAGTTAGGTTTGTTAGCAGTTCTGTTAATTTAACTGGTAAAGTTAGATAAAACAAATTGTTACTTATAGAGTATCAGGGATTTCTTTCACTCGACAACTCCTTTGTAACAGATGAGCAATTAAGAAATTCTTTAAACACAATTGTAATGGCCAATGTAATGATATGAACACAGTATACTTCATATTTCATCACATAGCTTAAGCAAAACCAATTTATAGCTAATTATTATATTGTTAATCCACACGAGTTGCTGTAAACAAATAAGGACAAGAAAAAAATATTTGCTTTACCTTGTAAGATTTATCAAGAAGCTGTGGTAGTTTCCTTGGTTCTTAGACGCAATTTGAACAGCCCTTAAAAGTTTACTTTCAATAATTTATGACAACAGGTAGTCCCAGGTTACAAATGGGCTTGTTACGGAGTGCATTTTTAAGTATGAGCAATTGTTTTGCAAGTTGGATCTTTAAAATCAATATTAATATGGGATCTCATTTGCAAGTTCACAAAACAGGGACCACCTGTAGCGGGAGCAATTATTATAAACAAAATTAGCACACAAATCGCAGAAGACCTCATGTAGATTCTACATTTATTTCATACCAAAAAATTCTGTGCAATGAATACACATTCATACATATTTACAATTTTTGCTATTTAGCAAAATCATATTCCTGAACCTATTATAAAACCGTTCCCATCTGTGGCTGTGAAGGGGATCAATGCCCAGAGTCCACCTTAAAAGTTTTTAACACATGTGCTCATGAGCTTGAAGCAGCATTAATAAATAACTCTGATGGAACATATTATACAGATCAAGAACATACTACTTCTGCCATGCTAAATAGTTTTACAAAAATAAAGAGCATTTGTCACCCTTTCACTTTGAATAGACAATGATTTACTGTAATGGAAACTGTTTTTGTTTACCGCTTCAAAATTAGGGATCTGCTCATGCCTGTATTAATGCCGATACCAGGAATAAGTACTGATAGGCCAGTATCAATAGGAATGAATCTATAGTTACAGTACATCTTGAGCAGTAAACATGGGCTTCATGCTAGACAGTGCAATATAAACAAATCATGGTGGGGAAATAAAAGGGTAAATATAACTGGACTTTTAAGGTTTTAAATTTGTCCATCCCTCTGCTGTTAGTAAAGGCATTACACCAGGAGGTGCACGAAGTAAAACGTTTGAGCCAAGCTCAACACATTGGCTAAAAATCAATATTAGAGTTGTTTCGAATCAAACATATGTAGAATTGCAGTTACCTAGTATAGTTCAACATCAAAAACAGGATCAAAGATGAGCAGAAGTATCATCCACAGCCAAGATATAAAGTATCGGTACTACAGTATCAGTAAACTCTTTTGGAATTTTTACAGCTTATTGGGTCACAGGAATGTCACAATAATAGTATAATAGCATTCAGTGGTCTTCTAGAGCTCAGAGACAGACTTCAGGTAACTTACTGTACCAGCAGCTTCAATGAGCACAGATACAAGAAATGCAATTCCCCCATGTCCAAGATTATATCCTTTGAGACAAGCTTTAACTGTACCCAACATCCTCAATTATTTGCATTATAGGATGAATGTAGTAACTGCATTAAAATTTGCCAACAAAACATTTACAGCACAAGGGCTTAAAAAAAAAAACCCAATTTGGGAAAGATACACTAAAAAACAGCAAATTTAGTGTTCAGAAAATATCAAGTGCATTAATTACTATGTTTACATGTACAGCATCCTACACATTAACAAGATTTAAGTTCAACAAAAGAAAAACTCTGTTAGACAACTGCCCATCTGCAAATATAAAATCTGATGGAACTGGATTTTCTACCAATAGTAGATACCTGATGGAAAACATTGCCCCATCTTTTAAACACAATTCTACATTGGCAAGTAGGCAGGGTAAAGTATAATTAACTACTGGGTGACTATAGATTTATCAGTCACATCAGCTGGATCCTGTGTTATGAACACAGTCTCTGAGGTATACAAACATTGATATATTTTATTGAAGTTTGTTTGGTTCATAGGCATTAGGTTTTTAGAAGTTTCAGTCAGAAGAACACTGCTACTATGAACCAATTGTCACCACTTCCAAGTATTACACTAATCTAGTAATCATTTAGACAATACAGTTCAACAGGTTGGGTTCTACAAAATGAAAGTAACCTCCTTCTCATGAAATCATAAGCTACTTTGGAGATTTAGAAGGCTGTTAGGGTATCAGCTTGCTCAATGACTTGGGATGCTTCTTGGTGTAAATAATTACATCAAGTTTGAAAATAAAACCTTAAAATTTGCTGCTAAACTATTTTGGGGGCACTAACACTTAACTGAGAGCTCAATTTCTGTAAGAATACAAAAGATCTCAATTAAAACATGATAGGTGGTCAGTATACCATCGAATAATGAATATGCACAACTACAACTCTTTTCAACAATACTTGGAGGCACTGAACCACATTGGCAAGGATATTTCAAAGCCAAGCAAAAACCTATTCCACCTAAATGTCCATCTGAATAAAATGAGGTGGTGGGATAAAACAAGCCCTCACAAACATCTAAAATCAATGTTCAGCGAAGTTGTATTTTTCCAACTTATGAACAGCAGCCATTTAAATAGAATGAAAGGTTTTTTTTGTTCAAGCAGTGCCCATATGTATGAATATGTTTGAACATGTCAAACTGAACTCAAATACAGAATAAAGTTTCCATCCCAGCCAACGCAACCAATTAATTAGTAGACGATTTTAATGTAGAAACTGTTTAGAAATGATCAACTATTAATTAACATGGCACAATGGTGTTACACTACAGAAAAACTATTTTCAACCTAACTAAGATCTCAATATAAACAAAATACTACTTTGACAAAAATAAAGTTATATGCAACACAGATTGAATAGGAGTCTCCTAAACAAGATTTTTTTAAAGAAAAAACATTATAGGCCTGGTTGACCACAAATATTGTCTTGGTCATGATGCCGCTGTATTAGTAGTGGCAGTATTAAAATACTGAAATAAACCTTAAACTAGAATTCAAAATAAAAATCTCCTAAAGTGCAACATGAACATGTTTTAACTTGTTAAAAATCACTGACCAATTGACTGCACTTTTATTAAAAAAAGGGTCAATTTTTGAGAGATATACTTTTTACATGAAATATTGGCTCAATATTAGTCAAATCCATAATGGTTAAGACTCTTGGTATTGAACTATTAGATTCACTGAAGCTCATTTAAAATCCTAGCAAGCTGTGACAAGAACTTCCTCGCACTCCAAAATGTCCTAGTTTAAATACCTTTGTGGCATGTTGTGACTGCATAGTTGCTGGCCTTTTAAAATCATCCATGCACTCAAAAAAAGTTAGTCCTAGAGGACCACAATACCATCTCTCAAGACAAATTCCAACTGTATTGGAAGAATTTGGACATTGAGCATTCACAGCAGGTCATTTAGCCAAGATAGACAAATTTTCAGACCCATTAATTAGACCACCAAGACTCAAGGATGCCATTAGTCACTTCCTGTGCAATATAAAAACACTTGTATATGATTTTTTAAAAAAAATTCCTTGAACAAAGGCACTTTCATTCACAATTTAACACGCAGTTTACTTTTATGGTGGGGGAGGGGGGGGGGCAGGGCGGTGGGATGGATACTTAATCACTTAGTGTATGCGAGTTTCTCAATTAAGATCTTCGAAGGAATGTGTAATACAGTTAAAGCTTGCTTTCAGTTGGCTTGTCTATTTATCTTCATGTGAGGGAGGATAAACCAAAGTAAGTCCAGGGTCCCACACAAGTATTCAATTTAAAAAAATTGTTTCTCAATGATTTTGATTTTCTTTTTATCATATACATTTCTCTCAAAAAGAATTACTGCCAAATAGACATAATGGAAGCAGGCTCTCCAGGTGTTAAGTTTGCAGATCATTGAGATTATTCCTGTTTGGATTGGAGTTGCTGTTTCCAGGCCTCATTCAAGTAAACCAGTCGTTTATAGTTGATGATGAAAAGTGTGACGTTCAGGAGATATGTAGTAATGCAAATTATGCAAAAATCCTTCAGTACAAAGTACAGGATGTAACTTAGATACAGTGCACCCACCACAGACACTATGGATGTCGTCATTAGTATTAAAGCAGCCATTGCACTCACTGTCATACCTGCAAGAAAGGGAGGAATGTTATTTCGTGAAAACAAATAAAGCCTCTCTATAGAAGGCTTCAACCTATGTATGCTTGCATCAGTAAACAAATTTGAAAAGTTAGTGCACAGTAATAAATGCATTGATAATGACCACAATCTACATGCATATTCTCTTGACCAAGGCCTTCGTATCATTGTTCAAGGAATTCAATACATAAATTACGATGCTCAACAAGAAATTGATAGCAAAGTGTAAAATTAATCTGTTTTGATAAATTAAGTGTGATCCTTATACCAAGAAAACTGATCCAAACTTTACCCAAATCGTTCTTGGATGATATTGCATTCAGAGGTGTATAACCCCAATCCAAAATTCGGTTTTTCTTTTAGTGTGACATACATACAATCATGCAAGCAAAGCAGGCCTGAACGAAAGCTAACAAAACTGATCTAGATGGCCAAAGACAAAGTCTGAGGATCTACTGGAGGACTGAGCAAGAATTCCAATAATGTTTGCTCCAGCATCCAAAGTTTGGGTGCACTTAAACTTTGCAAATGAAGGAAATGTTCACAGACAGATGAAGTGTTTTTTTTTAAATTTTTTTTTAGTCATTTGTGGGATGTGGGCGTCACTGGCTGGCTAGCACTGCCCATCCCTATTTGGTCTTCATGTGTGTTGGAAAGCTGCCTTCTTGAACTGCTGTAGTCCACCTGCTGTGGATTGACCCACAATGCCATTAAGGAGGGACTTCCTGGATTTTGACCCAGTGACAGTGAAGGAACGGCAATACATTTCCAAGTCAGGATGGTGACTGGCTTGGAGGGGAACTTGAAGACGGTGGGGGGTGTTCCCATATATCTGCTGGCCTTGTCCTTCTAGATGGAAGTGGTCATGGGTTTGGAAGATACTGTCTGAGGATCTTTGGTGAATTTCTGCAATGCATCCTGTAGACAGTACACACTACTGCTACCAAGAATTGGTGACGGAGAGTGTGAATGCTGTGGATGTAGTGCCAAACAGGCGGGCTGGATGGTGTCAAGTTTCTTCAGTGATGTTGGAGCTGCACCCATCCAGGTAAGTGGGGAGTATTCCATCACACTGCATTGGGATATGCAGTCTCTTAAAAGCTTGTGGTAAAACAATGGCATAAGCACACTATAATGCATATTCTCCAAGCAATAGAGGAAATTTGAGAATAAATAAAGCATATATTTTTATTCTGCACACAATTATTCTATCCTACAAACCAATTCCACAAAAAGACTATACCAAAACAGTTTGCAAAAATATCTAGAAGTTCTGAACAGAGAATCTGAAATTTTAGTGACAAAGGACACAAAATTGAACTTTCTGGTGTTTTGCGAGAGTTATTTCCTCACACATATACACTAATTTCTGTATCAATAAAATTAACATCTACAGTTGTTTCAGAGATAGTAGGAACTGCAGATGCTGGAGTATCTGAGATAACAAGGTGTAGAACTGGATGAAAACAGCAGGCCAAGCAGCATCAGAGGAGCAAGAAAGCTGACTTTTCGGGTCTAAGACCCTTCTTCAGGGAAGACCCTGTTATCTAACATCTACAATTAATTTTTCTTAAACACGGCTCTGTCACACGAGGAGAGATTGAGAACTCTAGGTCTGTACTCAGTGCTTAGAATGATACAAGGGGATCTCAGAAATTTGCCTGGATAGAGTAGATGTGAAGATGACGTTTCCACTAGTGGGAAAAACCAGGGCCTGAGGACGCAGCCTCAGAGTGAGGGGGGTTGACCCTTTAGAACTGAGACAAGGAAGACTTTCGTCAGCCAGACAGTGGTGAATCTGTGGAACTCATTGCTACAGAAAGCTGTGGAGGCCAAGTCGTTGAATGTCTTTGAGACAGGTAGATTCTTGATTAGTAAGTGGATCACAGAAGGCACGAGAACAGAGTTGAGAAAAATAGCAGCCATGATTGAATGGTGAAGCAGACTTAATGGGCCAAATTGCCTAATTCTGCTCGTTCATCTTTTGGTTTAAGATGTTGTGTCATTCAAACTGCTTCCTATAATCTAGCTCACACTAAGGCCCATTCAGTCATGAGCCGCGAGGATTGTTTACGGAAACCCACGCAGACACAGGGAGAACGTGCAAGCTCCACACACAGACAGTTGCCAGAGGATGCAATTAAACATGGGTCCCTGGCACCGTGAGGAAGCAGTGCTAACCACTGAGCCACTGTACCAAAGTAGATTCAATGAAACTCCTCAAAAGGGGCTCTTTTTTGTTTCTACATAAAAGGAAAAACCTGTGGTGTTTATTAGATAGATCTTTTGCAAAAAAGCAGACTATGCAGAAGGAGGCTGTAGTTTTCCATCTGCTGCTAGATGTCCAATGTTACTGTGAACTGCCAAAGAAAAATATAAAAACAATTGTGTTGTTTGCCTTTAAGCAGTTTCTTGTCAATGCTCACTTTGCCAAAGTCAATTTCTTTACACAACAACTTAATTTCCTAAAGACTAATTCATTAATATGATTGAAAACACCACATTAATATTAAGACAAAAAAGAGTGAGGCAAACATACTATATCTTTAAAGGTGTTGGAATATATTCATTCGGATCTTGAGGACTGGAAAATCACTAATGTAACCACCCATCTAAGAAGGGAGTAAGGCAATAGACAGGAAATTACTGGCTGATCAGCCTGATCTAAGTTGTTGGTAAGATTTTGGAGTCCATTGTGAAGGAGGAGATTCCCGAATATTTGGAAGTGTATGGTAAAATGGGGCAAAGTCAGCACGGCTTCATCAAGAGTCGGCCACAGCCGACAAATCTGTTAAAATCCTTTGAGGAGGTAACTAGCAGATTAGATGGATGTTACCTAATTGGACTTCCAGAAGGACTTTGACAAGGTGCCACACAGGAGGCTGCTGAGTAAGATAAGGGCCCATGGTGTTAGAGGCAATGTGCTAGCATGCATAGAAGATTGGCTGTCTGGCAGAAAACAGAGAGTGGGGTTAAAAGGGTCCTACCCAGGATGATAGCCGGTGACAAGTGGTGTTCCACAAGGGTCAGTGTTGGGACCACAACTTTTTACTTTATACATTAATGATCTAGATGAAGGAACTGAGGGCATTCTGGCTAGGTTTGCGAATGATACAGAGATAGGTGGAGGGATAGATACTATTGAGGCGGCGCAGTGGCTGCAGAAGGATTTAGACAGGTTAGCAGAGGAGGCAAAGAAGTGGCAGATGGAACACAATGTGGGAAATTGTAAGGTCATGCACTTTGGTAAGAAGAATACAGGCAATAGACTACTTTCTAAATGGGGAGAAAATTCAGAAATCTGAAGTGGAAAGGGACTTGGGAGACAAATGTCCAGGATTCTCTTAGGTTGAGTTGGTAGTTAGGAAGACAAATACAATGTTGGCATTTATTTCGAGGGGACTAGAAGATAAAAGCAGGGATGTACTTGAGGCTTTAAAAGGGTCTGGTCAGACCACATTTAGAATATTGAAAGCAATTTTGGGCCCTATACCTCAAGGAGGATATACTGGCCCCTGGAGCTGGTCCACAGGAGGTTCACGAGAATGATCCCAGGAATGAAAGGCTTAACACATGAGGAACGTTTGAGAACTCTGGGTCTATACTCGATAGAGTTTAGAAGGATGAGACGGGATCTAATTGAAATTTACAGAATACTGAACAGCCCGGACAGAGTGGACGTTGGGAAGACAGTTCCATTAGCAGGACAGACTAGGACTCGAGAGTACAGTCTTAGAGTAAACGGATATGAGGAGAAACTTCTTCAGCCAGAGTGGTGAATCTATGGAATTCATTGCTGTGGAAGGCTGTGGAGGCCAAGTCATTGAGTATATTTAAGACCGAGATAGATAGGTTCTTGATTGTGAAGGAGATCAAAGATTACAGGGAGAAAGCAGGAGAATGAGGTTGAGAAACTTATCAGCCATGATTGAATGGCAGAGCAAACTCTACGGGCCAAATGACCTAATTTCTGCTGTGTCTTACAGTCTAACTTGGAAGTTGCATATAATGCCAGACATGGCATGAGGTAACATACAATACTTAAGACTTTAACATTGAAGCTTGCCTTCATTATAGAGAAGCATTGCATTCTTGAAATCAGGAATAAATGTGCACTGTAAATCAACTGATTTGTTCTGGAACAAAGTAAGTGGTGAGTGAGATATTATGTATGCTCTCAGACTCACATGGATTGGCATATTTGGAGGTAACACTGATAAACAAGAATCCACGAATCTTTACAAAAGCTGGTCAAGAGAACCGCTGCAGTCAAGGGTCACTAATTTCTGTGGCGTCACATTTTGATTAAGATAGTTAAACTTTGTTCTGTCAACTCAATACAACTTGATCCAGGATTTCAGGTTTCTTAGTAAATATGCCAACAAGTCCATTATTACTGCATGGTATATAACTACATCCTTTGCAAGTGAAGAGTTTGCAGGGCTGATAGATGCTGAAAAAGATTTAACCATTTTCCACAGCCAGCGAAGATCAGAGCCTAGAATAGATCTGAAGGCTTACGATAGGATATTTCCATATGGGAGCATAAATTTAGAATAGAGAATGACTTTGTCGATATACCACACCTGTTTAAGTACTTGCGCTTTCTGGCTAGAGCTATAGTATTTTAAAAACACAAGTTCCAATCAATGCCAGCATTTAATTTGGATTGTAAACAGTATTATAATTAAATAAGGCTGCCTGAACCAAAGAAAATTCACATCCAGATCACCTGACTGTGAAAGGAAATACCACTGAGGAAATAATTCGTTTTGAGACCATTCCATTCGACAGCAAAACAATCAAACATTAAATTTAGGATTCTCTAAGATACTAACAGAAGCAGCTTGAATGTATACCCGACACTGGTCAGGCATGCAGCATGAACTTTGAATGTTTTCACAGCGACTGGAGATTCAGCATTCAGATAAGCTAAACTAGCAGATAAAGGAAATAAGCAGTACAGATAGTGGTTTCCGACCCAATCTTCATGGTGGAAAAGGCTGTCATTGTTCAGAAGAATGGTGCAGCAACAAGGCAGATTAAGTTTTATTGATGTTCTTTAACAGATCTAATCGTGACACTGAAGTCGCAAGATCTGTAATCAGTAAATGCTGTCATTCATAGATCAGATAGCCAAATGGCTAATTTGCCTTAAAATTGTTTTTATTTCACCATAGTTCTAATATTTATCTTGTATTATTAATTTAGATAAAACAATTAGCTTTGGAGTGAGAAGTATTAATAAGAGACCATTAACTCCAGAAAATAGCAACAGGAAAGCTTGTAGCTAATAAAACTGGGAAGGATGAAGAATTATTCACTATGGTAACATTTCCAGGGAAAATAAGGATTGAAATAGATCAACCCTATACAGCTCTATCCTTCAGCAAGTTAAGTTTTCATGCAGACCAATGTACAGTTTAGTACAACAGAACATAGCTTTATATTTTTGCATCCCAGTTTTTTTAAAAATCCCGTAATAGTTTCTGACCACTTAAAAATTAAACCATGTTCTGGGACACAGGACAAAAACCTTCTAGATAAATGCAGAAATTTTAAAAATAATAAAATCCACTCAATTTATTAATTGCTTCATCCAATGAATCAGAATTTAGCTTAGGACTTTTGACCACATTTATTCTTATTGTGATTGCATGATCAGGTGCCATTATGCCTCAGTCACTCTGCATGCTTCCAATCAAAATATAAAATCAACTTTCTGCGTCCTTCAGAATCCATCAGAAATTCTGCACATGGAATGTCCTTTGTTTGAATGAAGTGTGTCAATTAATTATATGGAAAAATTACTACTGTTGCAAATACAATACAATTCTGAATGAATATTGGTCTAATTATTATGAATTAGAAATGCTGGTATGAAATATATTAATCCAGATGCAAATGGTACTCACCCAACAACATTTGTAGTATATAGAAAATAAGTCCATATATACTATTTGGTTGATTCAAAGCACTATCTTTTCCAAAAATGATCCCAACAAGGCCAAATCCTCGACCCCATCTGCAATAAATGATAATTATAATTAAATGACATGACAGTAATGTTTGTGGAATTAGGAACCAAAGACAAAACACCATCTGCTTGCACATCTAACAACATGGAAAAAGATAACAGCTATACTTTGCCCAAGTACAGCAGATCAGGCTTATTAAATTTATAAATCATACTGCATTAGATCAAGATAGAACAAAAACAATTTGGCAGTTATGAAATTTCTGCTGCTAAGACAGGTAGAACTGCTAAAAGTGCTTATTGCATAGTCTCTACCCCAGAGACAGCTGTTTGTTTCCATCTCTAGAAACATTGGTTCATGTAACATCTGTTCCTAATGGTGCAGGATATAATTCACGCACATTACAATTATTGCCCACACAACATGCTCTCGTCATGAATCGGTGAGAAGAATTTTGTTAAGTTTAAAGTTCTAAAGGACAAGAACAAAACTGGTTCATCAATATTAGCAACAGGAATGCTTGGACTGGGAAGCAGAAGACAAATAAATATCACACCGGTACAAGAATATGATGATTCAGGGGGCCAGAGTAAAAGTTGCTATTAGGTCTAACTTGATGAGGCTGAAGTAAAAGCAAAGTACTGTGGATGCTGAAGATCTGAAATAAAAGGTGCTGGAAAAACTCAGCAGGTCTGGCAGCATCTCTGGAGAGTGAAACAGAGCAAATGTTGAGTCTGATATAACTCTTTAGTTCTGATATCATATTGAACTTAAAACATTAACACTATCTCTCCACAGATGTCAGATCTGCTGAGTTTTGCCAACACTTCTTTTTACTTAATAGAGCTTAAACACTGCTGCAAGGTTACTAAAGCAAGGAACACTCCACTGTCTCTCCCTCGAATGGAAACGTAAATTTCTGCAGAAGATCATCTACTTGTAACGGTGACAGAATAGAAATCTCAGATAGGCAGTTCAATCTGATTTACAATGGTTACACATTAAAAAGGCCATTCAAGCCATCACACCTGTGCTAGCTCTTTGAAAAAGCTGGCCAATTAATCTCACAGCACTGTTTTTTTTTTCCCCATAACCTTGCAAATGTTTCATTTTTGAGTAAATGTCAAATTCTCCTTTCAAAGTTACTATGACATTGAATCAGTTTCCAGGACCCATTCAGGCAGGGCATGACAATTTGCTATGTAAAATATTTCTCATCTGCCCACTGATTCTTCTGTTAGTCACTTAAATTTGCTTTCTGATTTAACTTAAATGATCCTAGCATCAGATTTGCTTTAGTGGGCTGAGTATCTTACAGATTTGTGTCCATTGCTCATTGGTAAAGCAGCCCAACCGTTTTCAATTACTTCATCGATAACTTTCCCTCTGTCATAAGTCAGACATGGGAATGTTCACTGATATACTGAAGCAGTCTGTGACCAAAAATAGAAAGACCTGGACAATACCCAGATAGGCTGACAAATGACAAGTAACATTTGTGCCACACAAGTGTTGGGCAATGACCATCTCCAATAAGAGAATCTGACCTTCACCCCATGACAATCAATGGCAATATCACTGTCGAATCCCCCACTATCAACATCTTGAGGGATTACTATTGACCAGAAAAAGTGAACGAGGCACATAAATGCTATGACTACAAGAGCAAGTCAAAGGCTAGGAATGCTGCAGTGAGTAACTTATCTCTTGATTCCCTAAAACCTAACAACGTCGACAAGGCACAAGTCAGGAATGTGATGCAACACTGCCTACTTGCCTGGGACAGTGCAGCTCAGCAACATTCAAGAAGCTTGATACCATCCAGAACAAAGCATTCTGCTTAACTGGCACCACAACCACAAACATCCAGTCACAGCAGAGCACACCATCTACAAGATGCACTGTAGAAACTCAGCGAGACTCCTTATAAGGGTAAGACAGCAGCTACATAGAATAGAATCGATTTGAACAGCCTTTATTGTCACTGGAAATACCATTACTTGTAAGCACCTCTCCAAGCCACTGACCATCCTGATGTAGAAATATATTGACAGTCCTTCAGCATCGCAGGGTCAAAATCCTGGAACTCACTGCCTAACAGTATTGTGTACCTACACCAAATTAACTACAACAGTTCAAGAAGACAGCTCCACCACCACCTTCTCAAGCGCCGCTAGGTATGGGAAATAAATGCTTGCACAGTCATGGACACACATTCCATGAATGAACTTTTTTTTTAAAAAAAATTACATGATAGCATAACTCAAGGATACAACAATTGAAGCTCATAATTAAACTGTCTTTCATACATATACTTCTTCAATACATCCAGACAGAAATTCTTTAATTACAAACAAAGCCAAATACAAATCGTTAAGCTCTTATGCATATATTTGTATGCTTGTAAATTGTTTTAATTTACAGACAGCAAATGGCAAGAGCACAGAGCAAAAAACTGTAATCAGATCTCACTCATTTGAAACAGAACAAGAAGAATATGCTTCTCATGACTGGGTCACTTAATATTTTCATTAATTAGCTCAGGCTTGCTCTCCAGTCATGTTCCATTCTCCTTTACACTTCGTGTTTCAAAAAAAAAGAAAGAGAGAGTGCAGTCTCTCCAACTTATTCCACATTCAGGGATTCTCTGTCAGCCGATCAAATAGAATATGACCTCTTCCAAGAGGATATTCTCAAAAGGCACCTCAAACTGGACTTATGAATTGAAACATCATGAAGAAATATCCATGGACTATTTAAACTAACTTCCATTCTTATTCCCTGCTTCACACAACATTAAACTACATTTTCTAATTCTGCTATTTTGAGACTTCCCCCCCCAAGAGTATTATTTTTCACAAATTATACCTAGAGCTACCTTACAGTCCATAATAGTCAGATATGTGACACCAATTAACTTTGCATGGGTAAGAAAAGAATTGGGTGGATAGGATGGTAGGCCTTAGCACATCTGAACTGTAGTGAAATTTAAGAAAGTAATTGAAAAATTAAGTCAAACAATATACTTCTGAAGTGCAATAAAACAGATTAGTATGATTACCAAACCCAAAAAAAATGCACCTTGTATAATAAAAGCCAGTTAAAGCTGCTGAGGAAGATTCAAGAGGGAAAAAGAAACAGAGATTTATGATGTGAAGATACCAGAATAATGAAAAAAGGAATGCTATAACAAATAAAACAGATGCAACTCAGACAAGTCTATAAGTCAGAGTCATAGTCATAGTCATAGAGCACAGAAACAGACCCTTCAGTCCAACTCTGCCATGCCAACCAGACATCCCAATCTGACCTAGTCCCATTTGCCAGCATTTGGCCTATATCCCTCCCAACCCTTCCTCTTCATGTACCCATCCAGATGCCTTTTATATGTTGCACTTGTACCTACCTCTACCACTTCTTCTGGCAGCTCATCGAGTAAACACTCTGCATGAAAGCTAGCCCTCAGGTCCCTTTTAAAATTTACCCCTCTCACTTTAAACTTATGCCTTCTAGTTTTGGACTTCCCCCACCCCAGGAAAAAGACCTTGGCCATTCACCCTTTCCATACCCCTCATGATTTTATAAGCCTCTATAAAGATCACACCTCAACCTCCGATACTCCAGGGAGAAAAGCCCCAGCTACTCCCTTTAACACAAATCTTCCAGTCCCAGCAACATCGTTGAGAATCTTTTCCGAGTTCTCTCAAGTCTAACATCTTTCCTATAGAAAGGAGACGAGAATTGAACGCAGTATGCTGAAAGTGAGGTGAGGCCACAACATGACATCCCAACTCCTATACTCAGTGTTCTGACCAATGACGGCAAGCGTGCCAAATGTCTTCTTCACCAACCTGTCTACCTGCAAATTCACTTTCAAGAAACTATGCACCTACATTCATAGGTCTCTTTGTTCAGCATCACTACTCAGGGCCCTATCATTAACTATATCCTGCCTTGGTTTCCCTTACCAAAATGTAACTCCTCACATTTATCTAAATCAAACTCTGTCACTCCTCAACCCATTGGCTTACCTGATCAACATCTAAGAGCTCAAAGTCAGTTTACTCTTCTTTTGCAGGTTTAAATGCAGTGAACAATATTGACTATTTGGCTATTGTCCACCTCCTTATCCAGCTTGATTTCTTTACTACCTTTGACACTGTTGATCATCTCTAACATTCTCTGCAGTCCATTTGTATGACTGTTTTCTTCCAACTTTATGCACAATGTTTCCTACTCTTACCAATGCAGTCACTGCTGGTGCATGCAGTACTCAATCCTTGGTTTTCTCCATCCTCCAGATGCTCACGCTTATGACCATCATCCCAAAGCAGGAGATCAGCTTCCACACTTGTGGCCAAAGATTACGTAACTACCATGAAATTTAGTTGTGTAAGAGTCAAGTGCATTAAGGAAGAGCGCACATTCTCCAACTCAATCAGCAAAACTAAAAAGGTACCTTCTCTTGCACCACACCCAGTTATCAAGACAACCTACCTTCTGTCTTCACACTGCTGCTTGCCTCTGGCCCATTGCCATCAAGGCTATTTTTGAGATCTTGCTACTCAACTATTGTAACGGTCTCCCAGTTGACCTCTGTCAATCATTCTAAAACCAAGTCAATGTCCTTGCCTGTTAAAATATTCTGTTACCTGTGCTCACACATTGATTTCAAGATCCCAGTCAGATTACTTCTCCATTATCTCATTACACTCATTCTACCCCATGTACCACTTTTAGCATTGCTTGGACCATCACTCTCCCAAAACTATTAAAATCACCTGTCAGTGTATTTGCTTCACACTGTTATATTCTCTACAGATTCCCTGTCAAGTTGAGGTGCAGCAAATTAGTCTATTTCTAGGATTTTACGGTAGACCAGGACAGAATTGGGGTTAAGGGCAAGGCTCTCTGTTCCTGATTATAAGAACATAAGAACTGGGAGCAGGAGTAGGCCGTCTGGCCCTTCGAGCCTGCTCCGCCATTCAATAAGATCATGGCTGATCTTTTCATGGACTCAGATCCACTTACCTGCGTTCTCACCATATCCCTTAATTCCTTTGTTGTTCAAAAAAATCTACCTTTTTTTTAAAGGAACGTTTACTGAAGTAGCATCAACTACTTCACTGGGCAAGGATTTCCATAGATTAACAATCCTCTGGGTGAAGAAATTCCTTCTCAATTCAGTCCTAAATCTGTTCCCTCTAATCTTGAGGCTATGCCCTCTTGTCCTAACTTCACCTGCCAGTGGAAACATCCTCTCTACTTCTATCTTATCTACTCCCTTCATAATTTTATATGTTTCTATAAGATCCCCCCTCAATCTTCTGAATTCCAATGAATATAATCCCAATCTACTCAGTCTCTCCTCATAAGCCTCAACTCCGGAATCAACCTAGGGAACCTCCTTTGCACCCCCTCCAGTGCCAATACATCCTTTCTCAAATAAGGAGACCAAAACTGCACACAGTACTCCAGGTGTGGCCTCACCAGCACCTTGTACAGCTGCAACATAACCTCTCTGCTTTTAAGTTCAATCCCTTTAGCAATGAAGGGCAAAATTCCATTTGCCTTCCTAATTACTTGTTGTACCTGCAGACCTACCTTCTGTGATTCATGCACAAGGACACCCAGGTCCCTCTGCATAGCCGCATGCTGCAACTTTTTACCATTCAAGTAATAATCCTTTTTACTATTACTCCTACCAAAATGTATGACTTCACATTTATTTACATTGTATTCCATCTGCCAGATCTTTGCCCACTCACTCAATGTATCTATGTTCCTCTGCACACTTTGCTCTGCCACTCATCTTAGTGTCACCTGCAAACTTTGACACCCTACACGTGGTCGCCAACTCCAAATCATCTATATAAATTGTAAATAATTGCAGTCCCAACACCGATCCCGGAGGCACACCACTGGTCACTGACTGCCAGCTGGAATAGCACTCATTTATCCCCACTCTTTGCTTCCTGTTAGTCAACCAATCCTCTATCCATGCTAATACTTTACCCTTAATGCCATGCATCCTTATCTTATGCAGTAGCCTCTTGTGCGGCACCTTGTCGAAGGCCTTTTGGAAATCTAGGTACACCACATCCACTGGGTCCCATTGTCCACCTCGCTTGTAATGTCTTCATTGAATTCCAAAAGATTTGTCAAGCATGACCTGCCCTTCATGAACCCATGCTGCGTCTGCCCAACAGGATAATTTCTATCAAGATGCCTTGCTATTTCTTCCTTGATAATAGACTCAAGCATCTTCCCCACTACAGAGGTTAAGCTAACCGATCTATAATTCCCCATCTTTTGTCTACTTCCCTTTTTAAACAGTGGCGTCACATTTGCTGTTTTCCAATCTGCTGGGACTGCCCCAGAGTCCAGCGAATTTTGGAAAATTACCGCCAGTGCACCTGCTATTTCTCCCGCCAGCTCTTTTAGTACCCTGGGATGCATTCCATCAGGGCCAGGAGACTTATCAATCCTTGGCTCCATTAGCTTGCCCAACACTACCTCTTCCGTAATAATGATTGTTTCCAGGTCCTCACGTACCTTCGTCTCTTTGTCAATTACTGGCATGTTATTAGTGCCCTCCACTGTGAAGACCGATACAAAATACCTGTTCAATGCCTCGGCCATTTCATCATATCACATAACTAAATTCCCCTTCTCATGCTCTAAAGGGCCAACGTTTACTTTAGCAACTCTTTTTCGTTTTATATATTTGTAGAAACTTTTGCTATCTGTCTTTATATTCTGTGCTAGTTTTTTCTCATGTTCTATCTTACTTTTCTTTATAGCTCTTATTGTGGCTTTCTGTTGACTTTTAAAGTTTTCCCAATCTTCTAGTTTCATGCTGTTTTTGGCCACTTTGTATGCCTTCTCTTTCAATTTGATAGCCTCCCTTATTTCTTTAGGCACCATGGCAGATTACCCCTTTTCTTACAGTCCTTCCTTTTCATTGGAATATACTTTTGCTGAGCACTTTGAAAGATTGCTTTGAAAGTCCTCCACTGCTCGTCAACTGTCCCACCATAAAACCTTTGTTTCCAGTCTACTTTAGCCAAGTCTTCCCTCATTCTATCGTAGTTCCCCTTGTTCAAGCACAAGACCCTGGTATTGGATTTTATCTTCACACTCTCCATCTGTATTCTAAATTCAACCATTTGATTACGAAGCAGTGATCACGACTGGGATGCACTTTGCAGACATTGGGTGTAGGATGATAAAACTTGGCTGCAACTGCCACTCCCTAGATAGTCAGACTGAGTGACAACATTCCCTGCCTTGGCTTGCGGAGGTGACCATTTGTCCAAATAATTAGAAAGCTCTGGAACCAGATGATGTAGATAGAGTGGTTAAAAAGGCATTTGGCACGCTTGCTTTCGTAGTAGAGTCCTTTGAGCATAGGAGTTGGGAAGTCATGTTGAGGTTGTGTAGGACATTGGGGAGGCCTCTTCTGGAATACTGTGTCCTGCTCTGGTCGCCCAGTTAGAGGAAGGATATTATCAAGCTGGAGAGGATTCAGAAGAGATTTACCAGGATGTCGCTGGGCATGGAAGGTTTCAGTTATAAAGAAAGGCTGGATAGGCGGAGGCTTCTTTCACTGGAGCATAGGAGATTAAGAGGCAATTTAAGAGAAGTTTATAAAATGAGGGGCATAGACACAGTCGGTGAGTTGTCTTTTCCCTAGGATGGGGGATTTCAAGACTAAGGGGCATATTTTTAAGGTGAGAGGAGAGAGATTTAAAAAAAAAGACACCAGAGGCAATTTTTCTTTTTAAAAAAAAAGGTGGCTCACATGTGGAATGAACTTCCTGAGGAAGTGGTGGGTACAGTTACAACATTTAAAAGACATTTGGATAGATACATGAACAGGAAAGGTTTGGAGGTATATAGGCCAGGAACAGGCAGGTGGGACCAGTTTAGTTTGGGATTATGTACGGCATGGACTGGTTGAACCAAAAGGTCTGTTTCCGTGCTGTATGACTCTCTGACTCAGAGTTTATAACGGAAAGGGAGATTATACATTTGATACATCCAGTACAACATCACCTTGCCAATTCTAAAAACTCCTGCATCTTCAGGCCTCTTCAACTGACCGCACAGTTAGAAGTTATAATGCAGAAAATTAATTGAGAAGCAAGTTGGTAACAGCTTTGTGTGTGAGGCAAGGGCCAGAATGTGACTTAACGCTACAAAATGTTGTGTTAGCTTCTGCTTTAGGACCTAGATTAATCATTAACAGTAGAGTTTACAGTAATAGCCTGGATAACAGCCAGCATTGTATAATCATGGACATTTCTATTAACTCTACTGCTACTATTTGTTTAACATAGAACATAGAACATTACAGCGCAGTACAGGCTCTTCGGCCCTCGATGTTGCGCCGACCTGTGAAAACCAATCTGAAGCCCATCTAACCTAAACTATTCCATTATCATCCATATGTTTATCCAATGACCATTTAAATGCCCTTAAAGTGGGCGAGTCTACTATTTTTGCAGGCAGGGCATTCCACGCCCTTACTACTCTGAGTAAAGAACCTACCTCTGACATCTGTCCTATATCTATCACCCCTCAATTTAAAGCTATGTCCCCTCGTGCTAGTCATCACCATCCGAGGAAAAAGGCTCCCACTGTCCACCCTATCTAATCCTCTGATGATCTTGTATGTCTCTATCAAGTCACCTCTTAACCTTCTTCTCTCTAACGAAAACAGCCTCAAAACCCTCAGCCTCTCCTCATAAGACCTTCCCTCCATACCAGGCAACATCCTGGTAAATCTCCTCTGCACCCTTTCCAATGCTTCCACATCCTTCCTATAATGCGGTGACCAGAACTGTACGCAATACTCCAAGTGCGGCCGCACCAGAGTTTTGTACAGCTGCAACATGACCTCATGGCTCCGAAACTCAATCCCTCTACCAATAAAACCTAACATACTGTACGCCTTCTTAACAACGCTATCAACCTGGGTGGCAACTTTCAGTGATCTATGCACATGGACACCGAGATCTTTCTGCTCATCCACACTAC